AATCAGACTACATTTGAGGGTAAACAACCCAATGTGGATAATATAGTTCAAGCCATCCAACAAGAATTCAGATGGAGGATACAGCCTATTTGTAAAAAAAACTGAAAGATAGTGAGATAGCATACTTACAAAAGCTGAAGTTAGTAGACTAGAAGTTTTTCATTCTGTTGATTGATCACTTGTACAGGTTAGTTCTTTAGCTGTTTTTTTGTGCTAAGCGATAGCAGTTAATTTAGTTCTGTGTGCTGGTGTAATAGTGCATATGCACAAACTGTTGTGTTTTGAGAAAAGAAAATTTAAGCATGCAATTTACCATTTACCTAAAAAAATAAACTTCAGGGAATGCAATCCAAGGGGATGAAAAAAAAGGAAAGAAAAATAAAGCTAACTCTAGGGTTGACTGTCATCCACCTGAGAGTAAACAATATAATATCAAATTCTAACACGTAGTAGTAACTAGGTATAGATGTATTCCTGCAAAGTAGCCGGTGGTGTTGGCGCCTTGAACAACATAAGTTCTTTTCCGATCAGCGAGTTCCTGGCGGTCAGCAATGTCAATGGTAGCATCAAGAGTTACATCATGAATGCAAATAAGAACACCATCTTTTTAGGTTTGGATGTCGGATTCTATGAAGTGGGCACCCTCTTCTATTGCTCTCTGTGTGCAAACAAATTAAATAAGTTTTCCAAGTTCTATTGTAGAAGAAACTGCAGTTCACTCATTCACTAGCTGACTTTTATTACACAATAACAAGCCTTTTTCCTGGTACAAGGCATTGGATTCTAGGATATAGGTTTATACTAGCTTCCATATTAATAAGTATATATTTGGGTAAAAATAGAGTTTCATAACTATCAGCTACCTAAATAGCTAACTCTGATAATATCTGCTACAATATTCCATAAATACATATTTCAACTGAATCATTAAAGAAAAAAGCTCCGTATCCAAAAATAAAATACTATGTCTTATAGATCTTCCAAGTATGTCTCACAACACATAAATGCAAACAGTTCTTTTAAGTTCGCGGTAAAATATATATTAAAATGTAGCTCTACAAGATTGATTGACATCCTAATTAATTACCATATATCGTTCTACATCTATGTACCCCTCTTAAGAGGCGGTTGTTACATGTCTGCCATATCATATACTAATCAATAAGAGTATTAATAGCGCAAACATATAGAATCAAACAACAAGAATCATGAACTAGAATTCGTTGCAATATATGCAGGGGCAGATTCTTTGGAGAATTCTCCAATTGAACCTCAATGTGCAATGTTTTAGGGGCGAAAAGTTTGTAAGGCCGGTTTGCTTTTATCGTTTCTTCTGCCCGTAAGTGGATACAAAGGCCTGCTGGTAGCGTAACCAGCACCCAGAACTACTAACAGTAACACAAAAAGGACCACACCTACAAAGAAAACCAAGAGCAATTTCAGCATGATTTATTTATGTCTCTAATAACTCTATCAAATTTCTACATAAAAAATACTCTACTAAGAAATTAAGAACCCTAATCATCAAAGCAAGCATTTTAATTAGGGATGAGAATCTATCTTGGAAATTCCAATCATGATGAGGAGATACTCATTGATTTATTACACAAGTATAGTACAACGCAAAGGGAGATGAAACAGTTAAAACTCTTCATTAAATCCGTGATATACATGATGTTCTTATCTATATAAAAAATCAACTGGAAAACAAACACACATTCCACAATGAAAGGTTTATGAAGATCTCACAAATTGGAGGCAGCATGGGTACTACTGGAATTGAGAAGAATCAGCGAAAATGAAAATGGAGGGAGTCATACTATTCATTATTTTTACATTAAGTCCAATAGAAACACGGCCTCTTCCAGGATCAGATGCTCCTAAAACATCTCTTTCTCTTCTAGAAGATGGAGGTGTAGCCGGAGGTGCAGTGGAGTTTTTTCCACCACGCGGAGGAGGTGGATCCGGTGTGACTCCACGGCCCAAAGGTGGTGGGGGAGCACCGGGAGGCTTTGGAGGTTGTTCTTCTAGAGGGGAAAAAATTAAAATGACTAGGAAGAAATCATATTAAGCGAATTTGGAAAGAACATATCTAAATCCAGTACTGGAAATGTAGTCTTCGGATAAAACAAGAAAAACGGTGGGCTATTCAAATGTTTGAATGGTGCCCACTGTTTTCTTTTTTTCCTTTTTGTCCAAATTGCCGATTAAAACCACAGTAGAATCACTTAAAAATTTGAAGCATTATTAGCGGGTTACAATGATGGGCCTTTACGTGCTTGTTTAGACAACGTTTTGCTTTAGTTTTTGATTTGGATTTGGGAGGAGATTTAAAAGGTAGTTTAGTTTTTTATTTAGAAAGTATTATAGTATAGTGACCATTTATGAAATTAAAATAGTTCAACGACCAAAATGAAAATTTTACAATAGTATAACGACCAAACACAAGACTTTACAATAGTTCAGTGACCAAACACAACACTTTCCAATAGTTTAGTAACCAAATGCAATGAAGACTTTACAATAGTTCAGTGACCAAAACGAAGACTTTACAATAGTGTAATGACCAAACACAACATTCTAAAAGGTAAATTAAAAAGTTGTTTGGATGATGTTTTTTTTCATTGAATTTTGTGTTTAAGAGGTAAAATGAGTGAAAATGGAAAATGAGTTATTGGACAAACAAACACTGAATCTTGTCTAAGTCAAATAAGTTCCACTTTCTCAGTTTTGATTTTGTATTATGAAATTGCCCCATATAATATTTTATGATAACATTTTAATTTCCCTTTAAAAAACCAGCTAACTATTACTACATAATCCAATAATGAACAGACACTTTCAAGTGATACATTATGTACAACAATATTTTAACCCATTCAAAATATTTATGACAAATATTTCCATGTTAAAATACTCATTTTTTAAAAACTATATGTTATTCTTATGAATTACAATTAGTGAGGATTTATATATCATAAGTAATATCTAGCCTTTCATTTTGCATATACATATTAATACATATTCTATCCAAAATTAGATTTTATATATATATATATATAAATTCCGTATGTGCTAAAAAATAGTCCACAATGAGAATTGCACTTTGTACTGTAAATAGTACGAATTTCTAAATTCAATTTCAACTATTTTTTGGGACAGTAGTAGTATATTATAATTAAAATTAAAATACCTGGTACAAAATTTTCAATTAATTAAAATTGTTATATAGATCTAGACGATAACCTAACACATTTAATAAAATTATTTTTCTCCTTTATTCCGACTTTGGTGGCAATGAATATAAGTTTTTAATGCTAAGCTTGAGAACAAAACAACAAAACAACAAGAACCTAATTTCTATTTACAGCAGTTTGATATTTTCCAACCAAAACAAGTATGACAAAATGATAGGTACTTTTGCAAAGATATGAGTGAGAAAAGGAGAGAAAGACTCCCATATCATGAACTTGAAAGCCACTTTTAGCATCTTTCTCGACCCCAAACTCGCGAAAAAATTGCCATGAAACAACTATTTCTCAATCAGTCCTCCCCCCAACACTTATAAATACCTCCCAAACCAGCATTTGTTAAAAAAAAAACACAAAATCATCATTATTTGTAAAATAAACCTTTTCTTTAATAAAGAAAAAACAAAAAGTTTTAGTTTGTTCAAAAAAATGGGAAGGTTACTCGGCATAACCGTTTTCTTATCATGCTTATTCGTAACAAATGCTCAAATGTTTGATATCACAAAATATGGTGCTAAACCAGATGGTCCTGAAATAAGCCAGGTAAAACACGATGAATTCCTGTTTCAGTACATTTGAATTTCGTCCCTTCTGATAGTCATCACAATATGAAAAATTCATTGAACACTGATTTTTTTTTCCCTTTTCTTTAATGTATTTAGGCTCTCTTGAGTGCTTGGAAGGAAGCATGCGCTTCTCCGCAACCAAGCCAGGTTGTAATTCCAAAAGGCATCTTTACTTTGAAGGAAGTAATACTAAAAGGGCCCTGCAAGGCTCCCATCACACTTAGTGTCCAAGGCACCGTCAAGGCCCTCCCGGCACCATCATCGGTGACCAAGAATAATGAGTGGATAATGATACAATATGTTGACTTTTTCACAATGAACGGTGGTGGTATCTTCGACGGTGTGGGTGGAGCTCAGGCCTGGAGTGCTAATAAAGAGCGTTGCGTAACATCCGACCAATGCAACAAAAATCCAAACGTAAGTTTTCCATTTTACGTTATGTCACAATGGCTGCCTAACTAACTAGCGTACTATTTCATACACATGACCATACATTTGTTAATTTCTTCCTCTCTTTTTTTTTTGTTGTGAAACTTGCAGAATTTCGCCCTTCAATTCCTCAAGCATTCGACGATTAGCGACATCACATCCAAGGACTCTAAATTGTTCCACTTCATTTTGTACGGTTGTGAGAACGTGACATTCTCACATCTGACGGTCGATGCACCTGGAGATAGTCCGAACACTGACGGTATCCACATTGGACGTAGCAATAAAACATTCATTATGGATTCAAACTTCAAAACAGGCGATGATTGTGTGTCGATTGGCGATGGTTGCTATGGAGTTACCATTCAGAGGGTAAACTGTGGGCCAGGACATGGAATCAGTGTCGGAAGTCTTGGGAAGTATGGAGGCGAGCTGCCCGTTTCTGGAGTCTTTGTCACCGACAGCAAGATGACCGACACATTGAATGGAGTCAGAATCAAAACTTGGGCTAATTCCCAAGACGGAGATGCAAACGATTTGCATTTTGAAAACATCGAAATGACGAATGTTGGCAACCCTATCATCATCGACCAACTCTATTGTCCAACTGCCAAATGCAATATGCTTGTAAGTTAGTACTAGTTTTTCACTTCAACAAACAGGATTTCCATTTTGGGACGAGTTTAGTATTAAGTTTTATCATTTTAGCACGCTAACCAATCTATTTTCATGTGATCTTATACAGCCATCAAAGGTTAAAGTCAGCAAAGTCACCTTCAAAAACATTACAGGGACCTCATCAACTCCGGCCGCAGTGAGCCTAATTTGTAGCTCTACTTTTCCCTGTCAAGGTGTGGAGATTGGTACCATCGATTTGAAATTCCCAGGAGGCCCAGCAGCCGCCAATTGCTCAAATGTGAAGCCAGTATTTACCGGCACCCAAAACCCTCCGATCGTCTGTAAATGAAGAGGTCTTTCACACCTCCCCCCCCCCCTGCGCGCAGTTTTCATGATGAACTCAGCAGGAAGAGAAGCTCCTGATATTACCGGCAGTTAATTTGTCAACAAAAATTGGTTGCTTTCTTTGTTTTGTTTCACCCATATTTCGCCATTAGGATAGTGAGTAAAATTTGTATACTGTTTTATGCGAATTCAAGTCGCCTGTGTTTGTATATCGCTGGTGACACTTGCCAATAAATGAATAAGATTAAAGATTTAAAGCCATCATCTAGTAATTAATTGCTCAAGTATAAGCATTTTCTCTTTCCCTTCACTTTATCCATGAATTATCTCACGCATTGGCCTTAGACAGAAGGAAAATATCCAAACCCGTAGCTAGCTAGGTAGATTTCATATTTATTAAATCATCCATCGAAAAATATTGTCTAATTTTTTTACTATTTTTTAATATAAAAAAACAGTACAATGATTTTGATACATAAGAAATAAGCTCGAGATGATATCGCGAAGAGAAGTGACTCAATATATAAGTTTTAACCGGTGACTCTATTCACTATTAATTGGTTTTGAGATGTGAGTCCAAAGTAAGTCCGAGACAACACAAAAGTGAAATACATACGTACAGCATATGCTTAAATTATTTAGGAGATTCAAAACTCCTCTTTGATCATGTGTATATGTAATTCAAATAACACCACAACATCTAATCGAGATTCATGTTTAATTTAAAAAAAAAAACTTTATATGCACTTTTTTCAAGGCAACCCCGTAACCATTTCGAGCAATTTTATTCATAATTAAACATAATCTTATTTGATTGCAATTTGCAACAAGGGAGGTTTTAACAGCTATGACCGACCATCTATTTTTGTTCCATAAAATTTGTAATAAAGACATTCAATCCGATCCAACATTATTGATTCCGTGGATCGCAATTTTTTTCCAAATATTTTACGTATATTTTTTTAGTATGTTAAACAAAAAGAGTAGGATTGAATGAGCAAGGTATATGTCCGATTAAGATCATCTTATTGTTTTTTTAAAAAAAATTATATACTCAACTAAAAAAGTAAGACTGTGTGAGCCTGGTCTATATCTGATTACGGTCATCTCATTTGTTTCTTTTTTTTAATTAGTATTATTTTTTTAAAAAAATAATTCGTATTATAATTTGTGAATTGTTCTTAAAACAATAAAATTCATAAATTATGATGTCGATTATTTTTTCAAAAGAAACCCTTAAAGTAAAATTGTTTCAATTACTTATTAATCAAAAAAGTTAGTACATAGAGTATACTACATTGTAGGCTGTAGCCTACGGAGATGTTAATTTCTCAAGACATACCTTAATTTGCTAGAAAATAAAAGTTTGATTAAACCGTGTTTATTAATGCTGGAAAAAAAAACACAGAAATTTTCACAGAGAGGTTTTATATCTTTCAACACAAAAGGTAAGTAATCTACCAAACCAACACACAAAAAAAAGGGACTTTCATGAGTTTAGTTTTGAAATTCAGTATGCACACTCATAATTAGTGTTCCTTCCCTCTCAAAAAAAACTTCACATTGAGTTTTGAAATTTATACAAAATAAATCTTAAAACTCAATATGGATGATTTTTTTTTTTTTTTTGAGATGGGGAAAGTATTACACTAAAACTAATTTGTTAACGAGTAGAATGGAGTCAAGTTTGATCAAGTGTTTTTTCAAAATAAAAAATAAAATAAAGATAAACTTCATCTCGTAGGGCACATAAAGTTACTATTTCATCTGACCCAACCCTCTAATAGTGTCTAATCTAGTTCAGCCGGCTTTTACGGAGCAATTCTAACTTGATTTGTAGTAAAATATTTGTCAATTAATACTATTAGAGGCCCAAAAAATCATTAATTTTTATAAACGTATTAATTTATGAATAAATTTTTAATTATTGATGTCAATCACTTATTAAAGCATCCGGTGAAATGATGAGTCTACTGAGATAAAAACTTTGAAGGACATTGTAATTAGTGTGAGTGAAAATTTGATTGAGTATGATTCAATGTCTTTGGAATCAATCACACAAAAGGAAGCAATTAATGTGAAAATAATTGTTCAAAATTTTTAAAGGTTAGTTTCTACAGAGATACATTACAGGGATATGTTACCTTTATTAGTTAGCTCTCTTCTTTTTGAAAAAATATCGGATCCCTAACTTTGAATGGCAACTTTATAGCTAGGACTTCAATAAAAAAAATAATGATTTAATAAAAACGTGTAATACCAGAATAAGTAAACAAAGTATATAAGAAAAAAGAATGAATAAAGGTCGAATGCACATCTGGATTTCTTAAAAGCTATATGTGTCCTACGAGATCGTAAATCTCTGACAAATTTAACCATAACTTCTTCAACAACCTTACACCTGCGAGAAATATTGGCATTTCTGTAACAACATTTCTAAATTAGTCTTGACATCAATTATAAATAGCTTGCAAAAAAACATTTGAAAACACAAAAAAAAAAAAAAACTAGTTCATCACTATTTTATACCAAAACAAAAAACAAAATTATATATTGTTAAAAGGAAAAAAAAAATGGGACGGAAGACACTTGGCATCACCATTTTATTATCTTGCTTATTCATAGCAAATGCTCAAATTTTTGACATCACAAAGTATGGTGCAAAACCTGGTGGTGCTGACATTAGCCAGGTATATACATATAGTAATTATTTGATTGAATTATAATTGATATGAAATTCCTTAAATTGGGGTGGGGGGCTTCATACATATGGGAACTCCTAAAGGGTGCTCTTGATGAAACCACCATAGAAGCCTGATTTTATTGGTGTTCTGCTAATGGTTTTATTTTGATTTATTTAGGCAATGTTGGATGCTTGGAAAGCTGCGTGTACTTCTACAACACCGAGTACAGTTTTGATTCCAAAGGGCACATTTACACTGAAAGAAATATACTTAACAGGTCCATGCAAAGCCCCTCAAATTACACTTACTAACCACGGCACTGTCATTGCCCTCCCAGAACCAACATCAGTGAAGAAAGACAATGAATGGATAATGATACAATATGTCGATCATCTCACAATTAACGGCAATGGTATCTATGATGGTGTTGGAGCAAAGTCTTGGGGACTAAATAAAGAACATTGTTGGAATTCCACACAATGCAATCAATTTCCAGACGTAAATCATATTTATTTATAAATACTTCTCTTACCATTTCAGAAAAATAATCTTTTAACTTTAGTTTTTTTAGTGTACACTAAATTAACCTATATAGGTTATATCTTATGAAAATTCTAATACATGACCATTATTTTTGCAGAATTTTGGCCTACATAACCTCAAGCATTTAACGGTTAGGGACATAACGTCCAAGGATTCTAAATTGTTCCACTTCATTGTGATTGATACTCAAAATGCGACGTTTCAAAATTTGAAAATCACGGCACCTGAAAGTAGTCCTAACACAGATGGTATCCACATTGGAAAAAGCAGACAAGTAACCATTATAGACACATCTTTCAAAACAGGTGATGATTGTGTCTCCATTGGCGATGACACTCAAGGAGTTAATGTTACAAGGATTAGTTGTGGACCTGGACATGGAATCAGTGTCGGAAGTCTCGGAAAATATAATACTGAGAAACCCGTCATAGGAGTCTGGGTGACTAACAGTAATCTCTCTAACACCATGAATGGTGTCAGAATCAAAACATGGGTGAACTCTCAACCAAATGAAGCATCCGATATGCATTTTGAAAATATTCGAATGGATAATGTCGGCAACCCTATCAACATCGACCAACTCTATTGCCCATCCAGTGGTTGCAACATGAATATTGTAAGTATTTATCCCCTAACCTCTCCAGCAAAATTAATTATGAGCCATATTTTTTTTATTTCAAACAATATCATCCCAAAATATTACTAGTGTGTGGTTGCATTATAAATAAGAAACTAGTATCTTTTAAAAACAAACACTATGATCCTTTTATCAGTAATAACAAATCTAATTTCATTTATTTCTACTTAAAACAAATTGTTGCTCTATTGATGCAGCCATCAAAGGTTAAACTCAGCAAAATCAGTTTCAAAGGCATTACAGGCACTTCATCGACTCCGGTCGCCGTGAGTTTAGTTTGCAGTTCTACTTTTCCATGCCAAGGCGTGGAAATTGGTACCATTGACTTGAAATTCAAAGGAGGTGTTGCACAATCCAATTGCTCAAATGTGAGGCCAGCATTTTCCGGCACCCAAAACCCTAAGCTGAATTGCAGATAAGACTTAAGATCCCTGCATGTAGTTACTTCATCAACTCAACAGGAAGGAAGCCATACAGCTTCTTAGGTTATTAGTTTAGGCTGGCGATTAATTTTCCATCATTTTTTGTTGATTTCTTTGTTTTATTTCTCTCATTTTCCTTTAGACTTTTAACTTATAAGAGTAAAATTTGTGCAATGTTATTTGTACGGATTGAAGGTCCTTGTATATGTGTTTCAAGTGATGGCTTATCAATGAATAATACTAAGATTCAATCGAATTAATTATAAGTTTTATCAAGTAATTATCTTACTGAATTTTGCAGTTCCACTTGGTTTCTATGGTAATTTTTCCTTTTCTCTTTTTCGAGGTCGCACCGGTGCTTTAGAGATATTTAAACTATTACAAAGAGGGTAAAGTTTACAGGGAAAGGGGATAGTATTATTAAGATGAGACTCTACTTGCGTTCGCCTCTTGTTCAGTGTGTCTGGTACTCTGTGGCCGATGATGCCAAACCTCCTGCCTATTTAAACAAGTTGTTGGTCAGCCACCTGCTTCCTTTTTCAACTGCATACTTCCTGCGTTTGTGGTAGGAATCGAACGCTCAGTCTCGCAGTTAAAGGTACAACGCTCTAACCTCTAATGCATAACTCGATTCCTAAATTCTATGGCAATGAATGCTCCTGGAGGGCTCACATATTAGACATTCTACTTTATTGGTATAAAAAAAACATATGTAGTCAGTATTTCCCGCCAATGGAATACTATATATAATAGAAGAATGAAACGCACTTTTCGTGTGCATGCTATAAGTGCACTCATCTAAATTTGTTGCGATGAAGTAATTTTGAAAATAAATAGTGGAAAACAAAATCCACAAAACAAATAGGAGGGGACATGATGAAAAACGAGTTGGGGGAAAAAGATGAACAGTGAAACAAAAACCTTTGGATTAAAAGAAAATCCAAAAGAGGAAAATGTTTCAATAACTGAAATGGTGGAATTAAAATGTAAACAAATTGTTAAATTTAAATTTTTCTACTTGTGTATTCTCATATCTAACAAGATACTACCTTTTAAATCTTTTTATAGAAATAGTGAAATGAAGTAACCATAGCTTTTTTTTGTTTCTTTCTACTACGTAAAGTTTTTTCTCTATTGAAATCCACCATTCTTGCACATTCATGGTAGCCATCATCAACTATTCCAATGTCATTTTGAAGAGAAAGAGGAAAGAAAATTAAAAAGTAGCATACGAGTTAAAGTCATCTTTATTTATAGTGATTGCTAATTCTTAGACTTCAAAAAACACAAAAATGTTTGCAAACTACTGAAATTTGATTGGCAGTGGTTTTGATTTACTAATTCTTTTATTTTTTTCAATTATTTACAATTATTTCAATTTGAGAAAAAAGGAAAAAAACGGATGGCAGCGAGCTAGCGAATCTATATTATATATTAAAATAAAATATTCAATCAATACGTGTCGCTCAATTATATGTTTCATATCCTTCTTTGCCACATGTCAAGTTCGTATTTTTTTTTCACACGTGTCAACACAAGAAACCATCCTTCATTAAAGTGTTAAAATTTTTTGTAAATTAGTTACTCCAATTTACTTTTCACACAAATATTTCACCCATATTAATTACATTGCATGCATAGTTAAGTATACCTAATTAATAGAGGTGGCAAGTCTGACCCATGACTTAAGTTTTGACTCAACTTATCCATAGTTTTAACTTGTTTGGGTTGGATAAAATGAGATGGTGGGTCAAATGGGTCATGACTTAGATAAGTTTTGAAATTCTATGGATTATGTTGGGTTAGGTCACTCATTTGTCATGAGTCATATGGGTTAATGAGCATTAATACGCGGGTCAGATTGGATAAAAAGAAAAGACTCTCTTTTTTTTTCACGACTGACACAGTAGGGAGTTCAAACTTCAAACAACCACCAAAAGCTGAAATTGAACTCCTTATATCCTCCACCGCTGGGATTATCTAGCAAATGGGATTTTTAATATTTTTTTCAAACTTGTAATTAGCAACACAAGCAGTATTTTTTGGACTTCTAATATCTGAAAAAAATTATGAGGATAAAGACTTCTTGATTTAAAGAAGCTATTAGAGGAGGCGATGATGGAATGGTGGTGGCGGACGGAGGTGGTCATGGCGATGCTAGTGGTGGTTGCGAATTTGGACATTCCACTCTTCAAGGATGAGAAAATAATAAGAAATGGAGGTTTAGTTCGAAAGTGAAGTGCTGGTTCTTTTAATTTTAATTTCGGTGGAGATGGTAGATGTAGATAATTTTTTTGCTGATAATTTTAAGTTTGGGAAGTGGTGGTGGCCGGCTGGAAGTGGTGATGGCGGCGGGTTTCAAGACAAAGGGGAAGAAGAAAGGTTTATGACTTATTTGAGATTTTATTATTTTTAATCATATTTTAAATTAAAAACATGGAAAAAAAATAGAGTCATATGACTCAAATCTTGTTTAACTTTTACAGAGTGATTGATATTCACTTGACCCAAATCAACCTCTATACTAATATGAGTTGGGTTGGATGATGAGTCATTGAAAATAAGTCAAAGTTTCAACCAACTTACACGTTATTTATACTTGGATCGGTTGGGTTGGGTCATATTACAAATTCAAGTTGGATTGACCCAATTTAAAAACCATATAAATGACTCACTTGCCACCTCTACTAATTAATAATTAAAAACTCATCTTTTCCCTTGCTAATTATTTTTAACTTTTTTATTGGTTGCTAAGAATTATTTGCACACATTTTTAAGCAGAGTATACTGTGGTGGAATTAAAAAAAAATCATAAAAGTTATTTTCAATGGAGGAAAAACTATCAAGTATGTGTAAAATGTACTATTTTTCAGAGGCAACTAACCAAATGATATTACTAAAAAGATGTTGTATAAAACTATATATCTTTACATTTCTTTTTTTTCATTTTGAGTTAGTTAACACTTCAATTGTGAGTTTACAAAATTTATTTGTAAAAATTTACGAAACTACACTACCAAATTTTTATAGATTTTATCGACTAATACTTCTAAAATTTTACTAAGAATGAGTCATACTAATATTTTACCCTTTGAAATGTATAATATCTTGAATATAGAATATAAAATACATATAAAAAAATGATGAATATAATTCACACAACATAACACGTACAAAAATTATTAAATCACAAAATTTGACACAAACTTTATCATATTGTGACGGTAACGCTCAGCTCACATGTAATTGTAATTCAACAATTTTACACAATACATCTAGTACAATCTGTGGAATGCATGGATAATTCTAGTAGACAAGTAATATGAATATTTTGTAGATGTTGTGATCCCATCTCTTCAATATCCTTATCAAACTAACTCTTCATAATTATTTTAATGACAAAAGCACTCCTTAGTTTCTTAAATTTTATGCATTTAAAATTTATGATAATTTTGAAATGTTGAAATTTGATGTTTCATAATTGTCTTATTTCCTAGATATATATATTTTTTTCAAAAGGGATATTAACAATCCAGGTTACATTACAATGTACCCAGGGTAGGAAGTCCCTAGTATATCATAATTAAACCACCAATGAGCCCCTGGTGGTGGCGAATCCAGTAGGATCAAACCTCCTAGGTTACACTCCTAGATTTTTTGTGAGCCAAGTAGTCAACCACAAAATTACATTCTCGGTGAACGTGCTTCACCTCTACTACCCAATTCCTATCTAAAAGTTCTTTAATTGCTCGTAACAAGCTTTGATGCATGCACTGAGGCTTGTCATCTTGGAGTACCATCTGAAGGATACTAAGGCTATCCATTTCTGCTTCCAACCATTTATACTCTCTCTCTCAAGCCAAATTTAGACCCTGAAAGGCCCCCCACAACTCTGCACCCGTTATAGAACAGTAGCTTATGTTCATCACAAGTCCTGAGCGCCAACGACCGTAATGATCGCGAATCACCCCACCTGCTGAGGCTTGGCCCATAACGAAATCTACCACTCCATCCGTATTGATCTTATAACAATCTTTAATTGGGGGCTTCCATGATAGCATCCTCTGCTCCTTCCTACAAACTGGTGCTCCCACACTCTCTGCCTTGTCAAACGCATCATCCATTTCCCTCACATTCTTAGAGATTTCCCCCAATCTTCGGTTCAGTGGCATTTCCACTCTTTCGAAAACAAGTACCACAACTTCCAAACTACAATTCCAAAGATCAAGGGCCAATCCTTGAACATACACCCCACATTTTTCAAATTACCCAACACTCAATCCCTCATACTACAATTAAAAAAGTTAAATTACTGATTGATTCGGACAAGTTCCAACCACACCTCTTTTACCACAGGACAATCCCGCACAGTATGAATCGGGTCCTTTTCCATTCCAACACATCTTGTATAGGAAACATCTTCAATCACGTGTCAACGTCCTTTTTCAACATTCGTGAGGAGCCTTTCCTTCACCAAGAGCCAAAGGAAAGTCCTTACTCTCTGTGGCCCTTCCAACCTCCAGATACATCGCCACATAATATCAGGATGTGAGTATAAATCCTGAGTCTGGGCTAGATAGGCAGATTTAACGGTGAAGTCCCCTTTTGGATTGAAAGCTCACAGCAAAGCATCGTCACCAAGGTTCGGTTTGGGCGGCAAGGTTGTTGCTATCGGGAGAAGTGCCGTTGCGGGAATCAGATCTCGGAAGGCTTCCCATTTCCATTCCCCTCTTTCGTCCACTAGTTGATTGACCATCAAGTGTTGATGGTCAACTGAGACTTGGGCAACTGCAATGGATATAAGTGGAGGCAAGCCAACAATCCATTTGTCAGTCTAAAATCTTGTTTTGCTACCATCCCCTAAGACCCACTTTATTCCCTCTACTAATGTGGCCTCCATATACCTCTTAAACAAGAGGATACATTGGTCCGTTCCAGTAGCACATGCCCATTTTCCAAATGCAGGTTGTATTTTGTTATAACCACCACAAGGCCCTGGCTTCCATTTAGTTTTTGCCACCCAGCTTCATTAAGAAAGCATTATTCATCTCCCTCTGTTTTTTTAGGCCCAAACCACCCTACAATTTGTCCCGACACACCTCATCCCATGCCACCAAGCTAATCTTCCTCTGATCTTTTTTCCCTACCCACAAAAACTTCCTGCTTATTTTTTCAATCTCCTCACAGACAGAAGCTGGAGTGTTGTGGTCTGCACGACATAGAAAGGCAGGCACTAATCACAGTTTGCGTCAAGGTTGCTCTAACAGCCAAAGATAGAGACGCTACAGCTCAACCACTCATCTTCTTCCTCGCATTTTCAGCAATCCATCCATACATATTTTTGGTCACCCTCCCGTGTAATAGTGGCATCCCCAGATACTTCTCCAAATCTTCAATGGTGCCGAACCCCTAGCCTCCAGCCAGTTCCCGTCTTCTAACGTGATGGATATTCTTTGAAAAGTGGACACAAGTCTTCGTCGAGCATACTCTCAGCCCGGTAGAAGAGCAAAAGCCATCCAACAGAGACTGTACCACCTCCACTTGCTCCATCGTGGCTTCCAAAAAACAAGAATATATCATCCGCAAATAATAAATAGGACACTGTAACTTTTTCCTTGCCAAATTTAAAGGGTTTCGACTCCTCGAAAATGACCTTCAAACTTATTGCGTGCGCCAGCCTCTTTACACAGAGTACAAATAAATTTGGTGAGATGGGGTCTCCTTGCTGGATCCCCCTTGTAGTTTTGAACCCTTCAGCTGGTATTCCATTTCAAAGGACGTGCATGGTAGGCAATCTAACATAGCTCATGATTATTGTGATCAAAAACTCTGAACCTATTGTAGGGTATTTTCAATAAAATCCCAACGGAGCATCTCATTTTCTTTTCAAGGTCTATTTTGATTGCCATAAAACCCTTTTTACCTTTAGCACGGCGGAAAGAGTGAATTACTTCTTGGGCCACAATGATGTTGTCTGATATGTGTCTCCCGGAACAAAACTCGTCTGTGCCAACCCTATTAAATCTGGCCGTATGACTTTGATTCATTTCATGATCAACTTCGTTGCAATCTTATAGACCACGTTACACAAGCGTATGGGCCTGAATTTCTTGATCGAATCCGGGTTGTCTCCCTTTGGGATAAGGACTATAAATAATTCATTTAAAATGCATCCAATTGAAACATTACTCGTTATTTGTGAATGTAGGGCACGAAGTATTTTAACAAATTTCATTTTGATCCTCAACCAGCTAATTAGATAATTTACTGGGACTTTCTTTCTTTCAAAAATAAAAATAAATTAAATTATTGTTAGAGTTGAGACTGCTGATGGTGTTTCATACAATGAATACAATTAGAGCAGAAAACCTCAGAATAAGTAATTAATGTTATAAGTTGTGATGGGTTCGATGTAAGTTGTCAATACTTTCTTTGTTATAACAACATCCATTTAATTTGGTATTATTACTTACAACAATTGTGCTAGAGTATGAAAATCTTGGTTGCGTCCTTACCAGAGGAGAATGCTATGATGATGTGAATTTTTTCCCACTTCTTCCAATGATAGATCTAAACGACAACTCAAAATTAAACAACAGAAGTAGACTCGGTTGAGATTTTTTGGAGAATCACGCTTCTTCTTTCAACCCTTCTCCAGCTCCTTAGAATTCATAGAATATAGAATGACCAGTGAGAGCAAAATAAGGTTTTTTTGTTGTAGATCTAAAAAAAAATTTCCAAATGTGAGACTGCAAAAACCCACTCTTAAACTTCCACAATACATACCAACCATCCAGCCAAAAAACAAAAAAAAAAAAGAAAAATTGAACAAAAAGCTATTGATATGTTTGTGTTCTAAGTGAGATTTCATCATCGAACAATATCTGGTTGTGTTCTAAGTGAAAAAATTATTGATTTGGTGGTAATTAATTATAGTTAAAAAAAATTTCTCGATTATACAATTATTTGCAGTCTCCGCAAATTACTTGTACTCTACCAGTTACATAATATTGTAATTTGCTTAATTCTCATATATGTTTCCTTTTTGTTCTTTTTCCAAAAACAATAAATCCTTTTTAACGGTATTTCAAATATTTGGCCTTATTGTAAAAAACAATCTTGATTATATTTTTTTCATTTTACTCAACTCTCTTCTACCAAAATAATTAATAATTTCATCAGAGCAAGATTTTAAAAGTTTGAATCCTCAATCCCCCAAATCTAGATAGCGGTGCACAAGAGGTTTCATTCTACTTTCGAAATTTTCCTTAGCAATTTGATATCGGATTCAATTTATGGTAACTTTGAAATTATTATTTAATTCATGAAATATACAGATAGTGTTCAATACAATTGTTTTGATGCTTCCATGATTTTTAATCTCAGGTTTTTTGTGAACCTTTTATGTCTGGATCATGTTTTTTGTATTAGAAATGTAAAATGTGTAGGAATGCAAAAAGATATGTTGTAATGAGGAATATATTAATAAAATATTTTTTAAAAAAAATGAAAAAAACCAATGAAAAAAGGTCTAAACAGAAGTGGCGCGATAAAACATAAAAAAATATAAATGAATATATTAAATTCCATAAAACTTGCCCTGATAAATCTCCAAACAGTAAACTACAACAATTCTAAGCCGGTTACAACATTGTCATTTCTACTTCTCCAACCTCTCGTACATGCGAAAATAATGCATTAACAAGCAATAGATATGCACAAAACAAACAACCACAATCCGATCATCATTATTATAAATAAATAAAAACACAAAAAAAAGTTTGGTAAAAAAAAAATAATTTATTTTGTTCAACAAAAATGGCCAGAATGATTCTCGGGATCCCCATATGCTTATCATTCTTAATCCTAGCAAATTCTCTGACTTTTGATATCACAAAATATGGTGCAAAATCTGGTGGAGGTGATATTAGCCAGGTATATTTTCTTAAAGCATTTATTCTCTCCTTCTGATCATTTATGAAATTCCTTAATTAATGATAAAAGAACTATATATATAACTCGAAGGATCAAATGATCCCTCGGGTGGCTCTAACGAAGCCTTTCGGTAGGTTCCCATTCAATGGAGGTACCAAGACTCTTTGGCTTAATTAACTCTACCTTGATTTCATCGACATTCAATTGATCAATTTTTTCGGTAGGCTCTCTTGAATGCTTGGAACGATGCATGCTCTTCTGTAAAGCCAAGCACAATTTTGATTCCAGCAGGCACATTTACATTGAAGGAAGCATACCTGAAAGGTCCTTGCAAAGCCCCTCTAGCACTTACTGTCCATGGCACAGTCAAGGCTCAACCCAATCCGAAGTCAGTTAAAAAGGAGAATGAATAGATAATGATATTTGGTGTCGACAATCTCACAATCTCCGGCAAAGGAGTCTTTGACGGTGTCGGAACAACGTCCTGGGGTTTAAACAAAGAACGTTGTTGGAATGCCTCACAATGCAATCAATTTCCAAACGTAACATATTATTTATTTACATATACAAACTTTTTATTTCATACCAAACTAATTTATTAAGTGCATATCTCCTATGAATTTACTTACATGATCGTGTTTCATACAGAATTTCGGCCTCTATTCCCTTCGGCATGCAAATATTAGGGACATAACTTCGAAAGATTCCAAATCATTTCACTTCATTTTGATTGATAGCATGAATGTGACATTTCAACATTTAACAATTATTGCACCTGAAAATAGTCCTAATACCGATGGCATCCACATTGGACATACAAACCAAACAACCATTATGGATACAACCTTTAAAACCGGCGATGATTGTGTCTCTATTGGAGATGGTTGTTGGGGAGTTAACATCACGAGGATCACTTGTGGACCTGGACATGGGATCAGTGTTGGAAGTCTGGGGAAATATACCTCTGAGAGACCTGTTGTCGGAGTCTATGTGACTGACAGTAATATTTCTAACACGATGAATGGTGTCAGAATCAAAACATGGGCTTTCTCCCAACCAGGTGAAGCATCTGATCTACATTTCGAAAACATCCGAATGAAAAATGTTGGTAACCCTATCCTCATTGACCAACTCTATGTCCAACTGCTCGATGCCAAATGATGGTAAGTACATTTTCCCTACTCCATCATCCGAAAAATTATTGTCCATTTATGATTTAAGATGAATTCTTATAATTATTATCATTATAGAGAAGGCATTGTGCCTTGTGATGGCCCTAAGTATAACCCATAGTAATTGATTACTCTAATTTCATCGTATGTGGGTATCAATGCGGCCATCAAAGGTTAAACTCAGCAAAATCAGTTTCAAAGGTATTACAAGAACTTCATCAACTCTGATAGCCGTGAAACTAACTTGTAGCTCTGCTTTCCCGTGCAAACAACTGGAGATTGGTAATATTGATTTGAAATACAAAGGAAAAGTTGCGGAATCCGATTGTACAAATGTGAAGCCTATATTTTCTGGCACCCAAAGCCCGAAAATCACCTGTAAATAACAGGGCCTCCATGTTTTGCGTTAACTACAGTATTATTTATTTTATTATATTTTTGGAGTATAAGTACAGTATAATTTTTTCGTTGTTTTTTTTTTAATCTCTCATTTTTCTTAGGATTATCAATTGTTAGGGCAAAACTCGTCCAAAGCTCTTTGTCCGAATAATGTAAACTCCCTGCATTTTGTATAGTAGGTGATAACTTGTCAATTAGAAATGAGTTTAACCACTATTATCAACGATGGACACCCTGCAATATGAAAAAAAAATGGGCTTAAACATTCAAAGATTGATTACTCAATTACAATTTATTGTTTATCAGAATTTCTATACTTTAGTTAATCATTTCCGTTCAATTGAATGGTTAAGAAAGGGGAAGATAACTAAAAATGAAGTGTTTCACTCATCAAACACGATGGAGGCGTTGAGATAACATTCAGTAGCTAATCACGAAAAAATTAATTCATTTCAAAATTCACGAAAAATAATAAAATCGAATTGAAATTTTGCACAACCTACGGCTATTTTATGAATATATTGGTTTTCAAGGAAATTGATGACTACTACTTATGCTACGTTTCTGAGCTCATTGGATACATTTAAATATTATCTTGATGCCAGATAACTTTTAGCAACAATATGAAAGAAAAAAAAATCTGAATTTTGTCAACTTATCTTCGGATTGAATTTTTAGGTTTTTTTTTTTTTTTTGAAAATGAATTTTTGTGTAACATTGGGTACGGAATCTCTTGCTTACAAACATATCATCCTATTGATCCTCTTCCATCCAGCTTTGTATGAATTTTTATCTTTTTTTTCCAAAAAAAAAAATTGTGATCAGAATTAGTAACAATTATACTTTAATTAAACAATTTCCATTTCTTTATGTTATCTTGCTTAATTTGTTCCCCATTTAGTCACACATTCTCATTCTATTATTCACCTTCATCCTAATCCACCTATTGCATAATTGTCTCTCATTTAATCTGCACTAATTAAAAACTAACCAATATTTGTTAAGTTGAAAGTTTCACACACATTTATAATTCATTCTTTCTTACATAGATGCAAGTGAAATAACAGATTGTTTATTAACCAACTATGCCCCCAATTACTAAAATTATAGAGACTTATATTCTACACAATATACAATTGAATACAGCTTTAATAAAGTAATAAGAACTTGTTAAACATGGAATAAACGATTAAATTTCGGCGTGTTTATAGAAATTTTGACTTTTGGACAATAATGTTTTTGGAGACTTCAAATGTTGGATGATCCATTCTTAAGTACTGCAAATTATCTGGTACACTTGGGAACACCGTATACCCCTTTGTGCGTGTACTTTACTTTCTTAGAATAGCGTGAGTCCGCTAGATAATTCAACTTTCTTTTTTTTTTTTTGAACGCGGCATATATAAATTAACGAATTTATTTAAATTTTGAAAACTTTGTGATGGAGTATTATTGTTGGGCGATAGCCGGCGGCGATCGAGGCGTTGAGGCGGCAATGGGAGTCGACGATCGAGGCGTTGAGGTGGACACGGCCGGCGGCGATCGAATCGTTGAGACGGCAACGGCGTTCAGCGATCGAGGAAAGGCTCCTATTCCACCAGAGTGGCGAAACGGTGATTGGATCGACGATATGTTGAATTCAGATCGAGTGATGAGTTATCTCGTTAAGATTCCGGCTTGATGAATGCGGAATGTAGTGGTAGCAAATCCATCGAACAATCTTGTTGTACCAGCAAATCAACGCAAGGTCACAGTTCTGTTGTTGATCCGCTGCAATCAGGTTTGTATAGGTTTCGGCATGTACTGTTTGTGAGAGAAGAATCAATCTAGTTATTTCATTTTATTTTTCTTGATTTTTCTTTTGATAGTTTTTGTTAATGTTATATGAAGTGGATAAGCAGTTATGCTGTCTTGGATATCATTTGTTATTTAGCCGGATATGCGGATATGCTTTTTGTTGATTGTGGTAAACATGGATAGGCGATGTGAAGTACTGATTATGAAACTTTTTTTTTGTTTTACTGGTTTTCCTACTCGTTTTGTGCTGGTTTTCCAACTTGTATGAAATTTGTATGAATATCCAACTTGTTTGTACTGGATATCCAGCTTATGTGCACTGGTTATCCAACAGATTTACATGCCTATCCAAATTTTATTTGTTGGATATCCAACTGATTTGTATTGGATATCCAATATTTTTCAGTTATTTATATTGAATTAGTGTATCTAAGATTTTTTTTTAATTTTTTTTTTTTTTGTTTGTCTCATTTTTTGTAAAAGATAACCATATCAATGAGTTGGGGGATGATCTGATGTTGGATGATGCTTTGCGCATGGAAGTTACATCTGCTCTGAAGGGTAGGTTTTCTAACTTGTTTATATGTGTTTAAATTTTTTTTTGATTTGTTTATCCATTGTGTTAATACTGATTACCCGACTGCTTGGTAATGGTTATCCAACCATCTCTTTTGTTTTTGTCAGAATGTGGAGAAGATAATAGCGGCAATGAATTAGGAGTTGATAATGTGATGGTGGAGGAGAATGCCTTACGCAAGGAAATTTCATCTGTGACAAAGAATAATGATTTGACTGTGTTTACTTTAGTTGGCAAGACTGCGAGAAGTGAGAAAGAAGCTTATGACTTGCATAATGATCATGCCCGGTTGATTAAATACTATTTTTTGTTCTGCTCATTTTTTTTAATGAACATGTCCGATTGATTGGCTATGTTTACTTTAGTTACATCTGCTCATTTTTTGTTCTCCATCATTTAGCAAACTGCCCCTCATTCAATTAAATACTATTTATGAAATTTGCCATGTTTGGCATGGGGGCAGCACAGCCGCGAAAGGCGGCGCAGCCGCGGGCACCGGCGCAGCCAGGTCGTTTAGTTTATTACGGGAGATTTATACAAGTATTTAAATTCTATTTAATTACAAAACATGTGGCTTTTCAGTTATACACACTAACCAGCTACACACTATGGACAATTAGTGTTCACAATGTGGATAACCAGTGTTTGCACTATGAATAATTAGTTATACACAGTTGGATAACCAGTATTGATAATATGTATAATTAGTTATATGCAATTGAACATACCTTATTTCCATCATTTGGCAAACTGCCCCTCATTCATTTTTTGTTCTCCATCATTTGGAAAAATGCCCTTCATTCAATTAAATACTATTTATGAAATTTGCCATGTTCGGCAGGAGGGGGCGGCACAGCCGCGGACATCGGCGCAGCCGGGTCGTTTAGTTTATCACGGGGGGATTTATACAAGTAATTTGTGCCCCCTCTTAATGCAACAATACACTCTCCTTACACACACACTCTCCTTACACGCACACGAAAAAAGAATTAGCTTAGCTACATTGGCGTGTTCGGCGGGGCGGCGCAGTCGGGGCAGGTTGGTGACCTGCAATTCCGGTAGTCGCGGGAGTCGTTTAGTTTATCATGGGGCGCGAAACCCCCCAATTAACATGCCGTTTGCTTCTTTAATTAACAGACTCTCCTGCCGGCGGTGATAATCGGCGGGGGGTTGCGAAACTGGTGATTAGATTATTTATTCATTGTATTCCATTTTAAAAAACGTGTTACTTTTTTACTGTAGTTAAATGCATTTTTGACTGAAAAGACAATGCTATAGTGCGTTGGATAAACATTATAAAACCAATGGATAATCGATGAGATTTTAGATTAGCAAGAGAAAACCAATGGATAGCCTTTTTTGTAGTCTCAGAGGTAGTTTGACGGATTATTGCTGTTTTCAATGTTAGTCTCAGAGGTAGTATTGTTACCAGTTCAGTTTGTCCATGCCACATAGAATCAAATGTAAAAAAAGCATGGATAACCAGTTTACAACTTGTGGATAACCAGTTTACACCTTTTGGATAACCAGTTTACAACTTGTGGATAACCAGCAATTATGGCATGGACAACCATCACATAGCACACGCAGGAAAACATGGATAACCAATTCAGATCTAGTAGATAATCAGTAACAAAATTATGGATAATCAATAAAGCATGAATAAGAAACCATATGCGAACGCAACCACATATCAAACGCAACAAGGCATGGATAACAAGTTCAGATCTAATGGATAAATAAAAAATATTGCTGGATAATCAAAAAAAAGGATCCCGGAGTAATATACTTATGAGTAAAGCATGTATAGATGAAGGAGAGTTTGAGATGGCTGGAGGTAGGGTTTCTTGCCGTTGTCTGTGTGTGTGTGTGTGTGTGTGTGTGTGTGTGTGTGTGTGTGAAAGAACAGACTAACAAAATGAAAAACGCAGAGAGAAGATGAAGTTATCAACATCGTCTTCCAGCGGAGGTTTTCCGTCGACTTTATGTAATTTTGTGGTGGTGGTCAATTTTGTATTTGCCCTAAAATGGAGAGTTTTCGTCGATTGTGTGTTTGTGTGTGTTTGTGTGTAAGGATGAAAATAATAAAATAGATGAAAATAATTTTGTTTGTGCAGTTAATGTAAAGGTAAAAACAGTTGAGCGCGTATAGCGCATGTGTTTGGTGGGGGTATACGGTACACCCGGATGCACTGGATACGGGCTCTTAAGTACTACCCCTTCCGGTCCTTACTATAAGGCATTTTGATTTTGTTTTAGATTTCACATAAAATATCTTTTTAATTGAAAAAAAAACCTTAAAAATATATTTTCACATTCGTTTATCTTAAATGTTAGGAGATATTTTTAAGGTTTCTATTTTAATAAAAAAAACATCCTAAATGAAACCTAACACAAAATCAAAATGACTTATAATAAGGACCAGAGGGAGTATTAGTTTCTGGCTGAAACAAACATGGTCTGCGTTCTTCATTGTACCAAAAAATAATACGTATCAATTTTTTTTTGGAAAAGAAAGTTAAAATTAGAAGAGAAAAACGGAAAAAAAAAAAAAGAAGGAAAAAACAGAAACTAAGACGGAGGGGGGAAAAGAGAAAAAGATGGCTAAATGGATGGTTTGTTGGCGGTCAAAGTCATAAACCCCGCCGAAGGCCAATGCATTAATAATTGCCATTTTGGTTGCAAAAAAAAAAAGGTTATATTAATAAATAAAGACTCAAACCCAAATAAAAAGTGTAAGCCCATTTTTTCTTTTTTTTAAAAAAAGTTGCTTTCTTTTTTATTCTTTGCAGTAAAGAAAGGGAAAACTAATTCCATCCTCCTCCTCCTTCCTCCTCTCTCTCTCTCTCTCTCTCTCTAACCTCGTTTTCTCTCTCTGATCTGCGGCATCTCTGCCCTCTTCGCCATTCTTGAAGAATTCCCTGTTTTCTCTCTCTGATTTTGATTCTTTTGTTGGTTGTCTTCTTCCCCTTTTCCACCGCTAATTTTGTTTTTTTTTTTAATTTTCCCCCAAGAAAAAAACAAACTAAAGAATGGATTTTTTATTTGCCAACGTAATCTTTCTTCAAAGGGTTTGATTATTCAGGTATGCTGTTTGCGACACTCCTGTCCCTTTACGGTCCGTTTCTTTCTTTGTTTTCTTTTGTCCTTGATGTCTTATACGGATATTGGGTGCTGTGCTTTATGAGTTTGTACCCCCATTTATTTTGTTGAATGAATTATTTGTATTGTATTATGGAGAATGTGGGTTTTATTGGGTTGAAATTAATTGTGTTTTGTGCTGTAATGCTTGTTTTACAGATTAATGGTGTCAAAATTCGTTGGGTTGTGGTTGAAATTTGCGTCTTTTGTTGTGGGTTTGGGTAATCTGGATAAGATAGAACCAAAGCTGGGTTTAGGTTTTTGGAACAATCAAGATTTGGTATTGATTGCTGGTTCGTTTGGGTGAATTGTTAAAATCATAATATGTAAAGGGATGGTGTCCACTACATTGCGAAAGATTGTATCCCCTTGCTGGAGGCCCTCCGTCGAGAATGATGGTCAGAATAGCAATAGAGGCAGCGAAACTGGTTGTCGGGTTGAGGGGTTATGGTGGTACAAAGATTCAGGAAACCACGTCCATGGGGAATTTTCGCTGGCTGTAATACAAGCAAATAACGTGTTAGAAGATTATAGCCAGGTGGAATCAGGGCCACTGAGCTTGGAAGAATCAGGTCCTCAAGGAACATTTGTTGGAATTTATGATGGCCATGCTGGTCCAGAGGCTTCTCGGTTTATAAGCGATCACCTTTTTGACAATATCAAGAGTACGTTATATCCTCCTTTGGTCTTCTATAATTCCGTCTATTTTGTTGTTCCCCGTTTAATATGGATTTTGGCATAGTTAACATAATTCCCTGGTTTCTTTAATGTAGCTGACCGAAGAATGCACTATATTGTCTTAATGTGGATGCTTATTGTTAGAAATTGATTACAGAAGTAGAATTCCTAGTAATTTTTTATTTACTAATGCAAGATTTTCTTGCAGAGGTTGAGCAGCTTATATAAAGCAACTGCTGGTTAGTTCTTATTTTGTCACTCATGTTCTGGGTTTTACTCTGTCATTAGTATCCTTTGGATAGTTAAGAAAGCCTGTTCATCCTTAGAATTTATGTTTCAAATAGTTTAGTTCAGTTCACAAATAGATTTTTAAGATAATTCTGTGTTATAGTGGATGCTTTTCAATAATTTTGAGCATATATTCATCTGCCCATTCTGAAGTCACAAGCACATTTTGGTACCAATTTCTCTGAGGAATTTAATATTTACACTATTCTCGCAAGTTGGAATAGAATAATGTTCAACCTGATTTAGTGCCCAGAAAGCAAGGAGATAAGATATTAAATTTTGTCAAGATAATGTGCATCCTGTTTTTGCAAAACATGATGAGCCATTGTGGCAATAATGGGTTTTTTTGGTCAAAATGGTCAATGTTATGTGCAACTCTTTTGAACTATATCAACTTTTACATGGAATGTCCCGTGTGTGGTAATATCTGTAGCTTATGTCTTTGAGGAACCAATTTTACTGACTAGAGGGTAAGATGCCGTCCTGACCTGGAACTTGAAATTGGTTTTGAATAGTAACTTATCTCAAGTAAATGAGATGTTGAAGTTTATTCCTCTTGCGTTGGTCATTTTTGCTAGAGTGGACAAGGGAGGTTCTAAAACTTATACGACCATCTACTTTAAGTTTCTTAGATATATAAGGAAGATATTTTGGTGAGGAAGTCATTGCCTCTTTGTAGTTTTAACATTCTGATGTATATTTTCACTCACTTGGCAGTGTGCATGATGCAGGATACACATCAGAGAAACAAGGAATGTCAGCAGATGTCATAACCAGAGCTTTTTTGGCAACTGAAGAGGATTTCCTTTCTTTAGTGGAAAGAGAGTGGCTAGATAGGCCACATATTGCTTCTGTTGGATCATGCTGTTTGGTAGGTATAGTCTGTAGTGGGGTGTTGTACATTGCAAATGCTGGTGATTCTCGTGCTGTCTTAGGGAGAATGGAAAAATCAGTGAAAGAAGTGAAAGCTGTCCAGTTGTCATACGAGCATAATGCAAGTTACCCATCAGTGAGAGACGAGTTGCGAACCTTGCATCCAGATGATCCAGAAATAGTAGTTCTGAAACACAAGGTTTGGCGTGTGAAGGGTCTTATTCAGGTGACTATTTAATTCATCTTTTGGGCTGAAATCCCTTTCTTGTTATCTTGGTGATTGAGTAGATGTTAGTTCTGTCATGGTTGCATTCCCCGTTTCGTCTATGGAAATATTCTGAAAATGCTTAAGTTGTTTCTTTAAGTAAGAAGCTTTACAGCTAGGCATCTGTTTGTTGGTTTCTTTTCATGCCAATTCATTGTGTTGAATAAAGTTGTGTCTGGCGTTGTAATGTTTTGCCAACTTTGACAATGTTTCAACCATTTTTTGCAGGTTTCAAGATCAATCGGCGATGCTTATTTGAAAAGAGCCGAGTTCAATAGAGAGCCTCTGTTGCCAAAGTTTAGACTGCCTGGAACATTTGAGAAGCCTATCCTTAAAGCTGAGCCATCAATACTTGTACAGAAGCTCTATCCGGAAGATCAATTTGTTATCTTTGCTTCTGATGGACTTTGGGAGCATCTTAGTAATCAAGAAGCGGTTGACATTGTTCTGACTTGCCCGCGAAATGTAGGATCTCTGTTTGATCTATTCAAATTTAAACCATTTATTTGTCATGCTTTGGTCCATGTTGTGTGTTCCCTTGTTTTTGAATGCATAGTGAACAACTTGTATCATTAAACTTGGTGTGAATTTTTGTCTTTTATTGTGGTGTCATATACAGTGGATTATCCCCATTCTGATATACTCTTTTGCGTGATTTTGCTTGGAAAACTACGTGTCTCTGCATTTTGCATTTCTGTGGTTTACTGCATATATCATATGGTATTTCATTCAGTATAGTAAGGATCGTTGATATGAAACTCTTTAATTGGTTGTGCAGGGCATTGCCAGGAAACTGGTGAAAGCTGCACTCTGTGAAGCAGCAAAGAAAAGGGAGATGAGATATTCTGACCTGAAGCAGATCAATCGGGGGGTGCGAAGACATTTTCATGATGACATCACAGTCATAGTGCTGTACCTGGATAACCATATGGTTAGCCGGAGTTCTTTGAGGGAGCCGGTATCAGTAAAAGGTGGTGGGGATCCATAACAATATAGCTCAGGAGAGGGGGGGAAATTATTCTGAAAAGATACATAACATGAAAGAAAGCCAATTCTCACTGTAGCCATTTATTTGGAATTAATGATGGCTGCCGCGGCCAAATTATTGTGGAGACTGTAGCTAATTTTTTTTCTTGATTTTTCTAATTCTTTAAAGCTTCATGAGCTTGTGTCTCTAAGCTCTGTATGAATTTTGGCCTTGCCTTTTTGAGTGTGTGTAGATTGACTTTTTCTGGTTTTCTTTTTCTTTTTTTTTTTTTCTATTCCCTCCGTCCCATAATTATTGGGTTTTCATTTTTAGTTCAAATTGTACTAAAAGTGAAATCTCAAACTGGACAATAATTTTGGGACAGAGTGAGTATATATTTTAGTTTCGGAAATGATAATACAATTCATAACAATAATCAATTATTAACAGCTCTACTAATAACCCATGAGCATTTTTCCAATTTGTCCTTTTTGTTTACTAGGCTTATGAAACAAAAAATCGATATATATAAAATAAAAGGACACGAATAAGTGAATAAGATACAGCTTTTTATCTGGTGCTCATTTTGTTGTACGTGAGAATAGGGAGTAATATACTGCCCCAACGTGTGAACTGTTTTGCTGTGCTCCTTACTAAGGCTCTGCTGTCGGATGTTTTCGAGACACCTACCGGCGGCATATGGGGTATGTCGCCGGCACTGGTTTTTTCCGGACACCTACCGGCGGCATCCGTACTATTTAGGTTCACGCAATTATATTGATTCTGTTTAACTTAGGCATAAAAAAATAGCTTTCAAAATCAATTTACTTACCAACCGTCACCTGTGATACATCATTTCTTGGGTTTTTAATTTTTACTCCCTCTGTCCCATAATTATTGTCCACTTTGCCCAAAAAATTTTGTCCCAAAATTATTGTCCAATTTGACTTTTTATAGATCAAGTTACACATTTGTCCTTAGTAAAAAATATTATCCATAAAATCTTAGTGGTTAAATAATTACTTATGTAGGGGTATATCCGGTTGTTTAAGGTAAAATATAATTAAGTTTGACCAAAAATAAAATCTTTCAATTTAGTAAAACTGGACAATAATTATAGGACAGAGGGAGTATTTCTTTTTCCAAATTATCGGGATATTTGTATTATTAGTGTTAATTTAGATTAAAAAAAATTAACATTATAGTTTGTACAAATCGTAAATGTCAATATGATCTATTTTTCCAGGATTAAAAATAAATAAATTAATTCAAAATTTTTAAATTTCTTGAAACGAATACAATACAATAACTAGTTACTTTATTAGTAGCCTTTCTTCTTTCATTATCTCCTCAAGAGGAACATACACTCGTCCAAAGGTTTACATCAATACATAGATGTTTGTTGTTGGTTAACCGGCTTTCAAAACAATAACCTCCAATCCACCGCATAACTTTACCAACAAAGAAAAAATCTCGAACTAAGCTCAAAATGAATACCATTTGCCAAGATGACACTATAAAAAACTTTAGCCGAAATTCAAAATGATAATGATTCCTGTATAAGTTGTACTGTTAAAAGTTTCATCACCGCACCCATCAATTCTTTCCCTGCTCTATGAATGATTTTTTTAAAGAAAAATAACTTCAGTAAAACTACCTAGATAGCTCTCGCCAATGCATCAACTACTTGTAACCTCTAGAAAAAGAGAAAACTCGACAAGGGCAGGGGAGCAGAAGGGGGAGGTAAAACAATTGGTCAGCATGAAAACTGCAAATCCCATCTTTTGTAGAACAATAAATTTGTCAGTAATCAGTGGTTGACATGAGTATCTGCAGAAAGACTTCCTTCGCTTGTCAAAGGAATCAAACCTTCCACCAACACTGCCCCCTTCTATCCGTTTCATAGGGTAAACCCTCACTTGTAACGAAGGGGCGATCTTCCCTTTCAAATCCCCACCACCAATACACTATACCTCAAATATGAGTGGTATGAGTTGAAAGAAGAAGGCTGGAAACCGCTACATCATCAAAAATTTCCAAATCTTTCTCATATATACCACCAGTGACCAGACAGAAAGCCAGGCAGATATATAGAGCAATACAGCACCAGAAGCTACGACGGTCCCTGACCCCACCAGACTGAGAGAAGACAAATCAAACCCACAGATTTAGCATCAGTTTATCAACCCTCTCAAATAGAGAGACAAGGAAAATTATACACAGAAAGAAAGAGGACTAACCTGCTATCTCTTGCAGCTAGAAGTATAGTTAACGCAGTCATCTGTGTAGCTGTTTTCCACTTACCCAGATTGTTTACAGCAACAGCCTGCAAATTGTTGATGGTTAGCATTGCACTAGTAAGGATATAAATTGAAAGATCCGCAGTGAACAATGATAAGCAGCAAAACACAGATACCTCTGAGATTTTGCCATCCTGAGAAGCAGCCCATTCCCTTACTGCAGACATGGTTATCTGGTGATCACGACAAAGGTTGTGTTACACATTAACAAAAGGACAACTTTGTCAAGTTAAAAGGCTGTTTACACACAAAAATACAGTAACACGGAATTATTACAGCAGGAAGTGACACTCTAATACTCATAAAGTGAAAGCAGGAATGACACTGTCTACATCTTGGCCAATACCATTTCAGGTCATTCAAGGGTAACTTTTTCAACAGGAGACAACCCAACAAGAACCTTAATCAATCAATAATCACCTAGTTCAAATAAATGTGAGTCATAAATTCAAAGAAACACGAACTACCATACAAAGATATTGCACAACATGACAGATACAAAAATCATGCAACTACCTAATTTAAAAGAGGAAAAAGAAAAAGACAGGGAAAACAAGTTCTATTGCTATCTACAATGGATGTAATGTGCCACTAACTCTAAATCTACAATAACATTTACCTCTCTTCCAATGATAGCAATGGCAGGTACAGTCAGTAACCATGGTGACTGTCCAAATATACCAGCTTCCAAGGGCTTTGTACATAATAAGACCAATGTGGCAGCAACCATAAGCTGAAAAAATCAAGAACAGAACTATGTGATTTCACCAGCAAAGGCAAGCAAATTGACTACAAAATTTCTGTTCATTATATTACAACAGAAAAGCCGCTCTCGAGAATACCTTATCAGCCACTGGATCCAAAAATGCACCAAATGCAGTTCCTTGTTTCATCTGAAGCACCAAAAACCATTGCAAGTTACGATCAAACAAATCAAATGGTCACAACTTATCAAACCAGGTTCCAACAAAAACAAGAGTACCTTCCGAGCAAGATATCCATCAAGCCAATCTGTAACTGCTGCTGCTATAAATATACCTGTGGTTACATTAGGTCCCCACCAACTATCAACATAGAAGGCTGACAGAGAATAAAGGGAAGACTGTCAGTCTCCTTAGAGAATAGAACAGATAACAAACAAGATAGCATTTGAAGGCACGTTCCACACAGAAAGCTAATGCAAGCCCGAATTGGAAACAAAAATATCAGAAAATGATTCCTCCATTCACTCAACTTTGACCTCCTATTTCTGAAGCTGGATAAACTCCCCATTGACCCTAACCGCAAAGAAGAGGAATTTACAAAATACAACTTCCTGAGAGGTGGAAACCAGTAACTTATATGACTACCATACATTTATATGATAAAAGTTCCCAACTTCATCAACCATAAATAATAAGAACTTATAAGCAGAGATTCATTCATTTCCCAAAAAAAAACAAAAGAGCAAACTTTCAGAAGGCACGGATCGCCATTGGCCCAATATCTGAATCTTCACCCTCCCATATAACCATAAATCCCAATTCACGAGTTAATTGGAACAAGGGAGGCAAAAGGGATTTGGTAAATTGACATACTGGAGACAATAAGGGGAACGGCGGCGACGCGTCCGATGGTGAGCATGGTCGGCAGGGTGAGCAATTTGGCGGAATGAGAAGGCGGGGGTGGCTTCTTGCCGTCATCGTCGTCGTGGTGGCGGAGATGATCATGGTCGGAAGTAGGTGCGGGGCCCATATGAGTGGCGAGGCCACTGCTGTGATTGAAATTACAGTATAATCCTCGGCGTTTTTGGCGTCGAGACGAAGAAAGATGCAGGGATTTATGACCCAACTGGCCACCAAACCCTAGGAATGGGGCGGGATTGGGAGGATCAGGAATCAATGCGGATAATCGGGGGATCTTATCAGCGTGCGAAGAGGGCGGAGTAGCAATCCTGCACCGCCACCACCACCCCACGGTGGCGCGGAACGGGTGATAGAACCTCCGTGTGGGAGCGGCGGCGGCCGTGGCGGAGAAGAGGGTTTGGCGGGGGCGATGGAATTTGGAGGGGAAATTGTGGGAAGAAGAGTGGCAAAGGGAAGAAATTGTCGGGATTTTAAGGGCTCCTCCTGGCATGGTGGCTTATAATGCGCGCAGCAGAGGGAGGCGTAAGATAGCAAATAAAAAGGGGCAAAAGGGATATAAAGGGTAAAGTTTATTAATTTCAAAACAAAAAAAAAAAGAAAAAAGAAAAGATCTTTATGCTGTTCAGCTTCTCTAAACTCTGTACTTTTAATTTAGGGAAGTTAAAGAAAGAAAGAAAGAACTAAAAGTGAGCTGAATTTCTTGCTGCCATAAAAATGGCGATTTTTCAGGTGTTTCTACCTCATTCAGTCTTGGAAAGGAGAAAGAACAAAAAGAAAATCCTTTTTATTTGCGTGCGTGAATATAATTGTTTCTGTCATAAACTAGAAGAAAAGTCGCAAATGGCAATATTATAATTGAGCTTGTTGATGCAGCCCTTCGGTTTTGTATTTTAGTGAGTCATGTGCAACTGAAATAACAAGAAAACGATGTACTAAAAATAAAAAACAAAAATTACTAACGTAATGTTTCTCCTTTTTTTTTTTTCTTCACTTTGACAAACGAAACAATATTGAAAAAAAAAAATTAATATTCCGATTTCGCACCCTAGTTTGTCAGAACTTGTCTATGCTTGGTTCATTTTTCACGATTTTTTCAGAATTTTTTATTAATATCAAATATTTCATACTAATATATTTTTTTATATTTTCAATAATATACCTTTTTACTTTTTCAGTAGAAAAATACTTAAAAACATATTGTAAAAAATGATCCAAACATAATGTTAGTGTGTGTTTTATGGTTTTATTATTATTATTTTTTTTTTGCATTGAGAAGGTAAAAAATATATTGAAAATGTAAAAAAATATGTCAGGATGAAAACAGTAATTAATAAATTAATTTTAAAAATCCATAAGGAAAAAGAAACAAACATAGCCTCAATTAGAATACGCAGATAAAAGGGGAAAAAAAAAGTCTCCAAGATATATGTTCCTTGATTGTTGAAAAAGTTATCGTGATTTTTAACTATAAAATTGTTTTCTTGAAAAATTATAATAACATTAACAATAGAACTCTAGCATTGTTGTCTATAGTCCTCAAAATACATCAACCAATCCAAATTCCATAATTTAGTGACTCACATTCGTGAAGAATGTCTATAAATAATAAAGGTAAGAATTTTTTTTAGTAGGGAAATAGTCTGTGAAATACAATAATGTAAATTACTTACAATTGATAATAAGGGAGTAGACCAAGTGGTTGGGCTCTGGCATCAATCTTGGAAATCAAAGTTAGATTCTCGCTAAAAACACTTTTAAGTGTTGAATTGCGCAGGGCTACAATTTGCCTTCTAAGTACCAAATTAAAGCGTACGTTCGTGGAATTTTCCCTCTAACAGTATTATGTCTTTTCCATAAATTCCACCCACATGTAATAAATTAAGTGTTTATAATTGTGTGTCAAAAAAAAAAAAATTACTTGTAACTATTTTCTTATGATACTTAACATATTATATACTTTATAATCGTGAAATATGGGAGTATACACTGCATCATTCATCGCTCCTCTGCACGGAGAGAAATGAAATACTTTTATGAACAAAAGCCTTAATCTCAAAGCTGCCAAGTAATGGCATTTCCCCTTTTCATACAAAATTTTTTCCCTGACAAACATCATTGGCTATCTTTGTTTTTTTGTTTTTTTTTTTTCGTATTTCAATAAATACAAATTTCGCTGAATAAATTTCTTTCGAGAGACAAAACTATTCAAATAAATATTGTCATTTAGAAACCACTGTTCCTTTTATTCCACAACAAGTAATTAATACATCACTTAACACAGAACAACTGCAAAGTTAGGTTAATTGCACAAGACGTGAATTATGTACTGCTCTGTTTGGTTCTTAAAAAAAATACTTTTACTTTTCCAAAACGATCGTATACATTTCTACTAGAAAAACGTCCCAAACGGCACCATAACACCTCTCTATAGAATGCGTCAAAAATAGGAGAAGATGTCAGTAGTATGATCGATAGAGACCCCCCCATTTGGGTTTGGGGGGACGCAATTATTACCAACAGAAGCATGCACTATCTGCATAATTGCTACCTACTCAGAGAGTACCGACACAATATTTTCACCTCAAGTTCCCAATCAATGATATACTCTTCCCGTCTATCCTTATTATAAAATATTTTGATTTTATCTAAAATATATTTTTAATTGAATAAAAAACTTTAAACATATATATTTTACATTAATCGCGTTCTCTTCATTATTAAGATATGTTTTTAAAGTTTTTATTTCAATTAAAAAAGTATTCTAAGTGAAATTTAAGACAAATTTAAAATAAATCAAAATATCTTATAATAAGAACCGAATGGAGTATTTATAACAGATATGATAATTTTACTGTTTGTTTCACTTTTTTTTTTTCTCTTCACAAAATTCCCAGGTGGTAACTTGTAAGTATATCAATATGGCTTTTGGTCAACTGGGCTGAAAGTACACTGAAGCAATTACTGAAAACGATTCTGCAATAAAATACAAAATCAGACGTACAGAGCAATATATCTCATTCCCCTTTATGAAATTGTGGCTTAAATTTGTGACATGGGATGCATGGATATGATACAGTAACTTTGTCGGTTCAGTTGTTAAAGTTGGTAATCATCAATTCTTTTTTTTTTTTTTCTAAGAACCGTAAAATGTTTTTGATTCCGTTCTAGTATGAAAATTAATCTCTCGGTCGGGTTTGAATCAGATTTCTTTCCAAAATTCAATTGATGCGTGTACATATATTACTTTGATACTCTATTCGAGTTTCGTCTTAAAATTATTGCCTAATTTATATTTTCAGTTTTAGTACAATTTGAATTAAAAATAAAAATTCAAAGTGGACAATAATTTTTAGACGGAGAGAGTACTTAATTAAGGATGACAAGTTCTAAATACAGCTTGACTCCAGTTGATAATCATCAGTATATACTATACCCTATATCCAAAAGAAAAATTTATAAAATTGTTGTATTTTCGTATATGTGAATTATATTCCAAGTTTTTGGTTTTAAATTGAAGTTATCTGTAATAATTGTTGTTCTCATGAAAAACGATGAACTTTTGTTTATCACAATAAAATAAAAACTGCTCACATTAACCTACACTCAATTCATGCCTACCAAAATTATGATTACAGATGTATCTACGCTGCATGGACCATCCCAGGCATTTTTATTTTTTATTTTTTTCTAAACTCTTAAGTATTTATTGATCAAAACCAATAATCATGGATAATTTGTTGAATAATTTATCCTAAAAAATTTAATGATATATAGACATAGACTTTCCACCTATTTGGCAACAAGCAACTATAGATTGCAATGGCTAACACGAGAATTTAAGTAGGGGCAGAACTCAGAAGCACCCACAGAACAAAACTAAAGCGCTTTAGTAATAAAGAATAACATTTGTTAGATTCAAGTGATCAGTGATTTAAATTTTTTTTTTTTTTTTTAATTTTTTTTGTATGACCCGAGACTAAACGTGGCCATGAGCATATAACAGTGATTAAAATATTTGGGAGAATTTTGCTGCTCGAAAAGAACTTACTCAACCCAAGAAAAATACCTTTTTCTGTTTAATCAACTAATGAATTCGAATATGTTCGAATCAGTTCGTAAGTGGTTAGTAGATTGTTGGGGGAGGATAATGGTCATACATTATGTGTGGGCGTGGGATCGTGGCATTCGAGATTATATCTGAAAGAAAATCAAACCCTTTTTAGCACATTTAGGACTACTTAGTACTCCTAGGATAAGAGGACAGGAAGTAGCACTCACAAAATCCTATGAATGAATGAACCAAAGAGAGTTGGTACAGAAAACAGAGCAAATGAAAGCTCACTGAAATCGATCAGAACAACACTTTTTACCATTAAATGTATATATACTGGGGGAGACCCATATATATAGATCTTAACGAATATTCATTCACTCTCTCAACTCCCCCACCCCCAAAAAAAAAAAAAACTCACCCTCTTTCAATAATCTCCAGATCTCTTCAACAATTTATTTTCGAAAATTTATTTCTTTTTGCGCCACTTTTTGGCAATCTTTCCCTCAATTCACTGCGCAAACTCTCGTACTCTGTGTCAAGCAAACTAGAGAAAGAGAAGAACGCATCTGTACACTAACTACAAGTCTCTCACCAAAATGGTGTAAACGTTAAACTCGCATTCTCCATGTGACTGACCCCTCTTACCCCACATCGGACCCCGCCTCTGTTTTTCCTTTTCCATTTCATACCAAAAAGATCGAAAATCCCATATCCAGCATTCACTGTCAGCCATACTGCCCTTTTCACTCTTCTTCTTCTTCTTCTTCAGTTACTGCTACTTACTACTGCTACTACTAGTAGACTCGTAGTTTGGAGTCTTTAGACCCTTTGCTTTGACTTGTCCAATTGTTTTGATTGGTGGGTTGTAAGAAAAAGATTCGATTTTTTGGATCAAGAAACTCAAAGATTTTATTTTTTGGGGGGTTTTGGATTACGAATTCAAAAGGGTTTTCGTTCCATCTTTCAGTAACAAGGGGGAAAAAAAATACCGCATTCTGCGTCGGCTGCTTCTGTTTTCTTCTGAGTTGTGTCTGTGTGCTCTCCGATTATGAAGGCCAAATCAGCAGCCGCAACTGCCGTCTTGAGTCCTCCTCTGCCTATTTCTTTCGATCATAAGAGGTACTTCTTCTGATTACTACTTTAATTTCTCCGTCTTTCTTCTGTCCTCCTTTCTCCACGTGTCCTTGCAAAAAAACCCTGAATCTGCATTCTATCATTGATCCCTTCTTTTGCTTAAGCATCTGAATTGTTCTTTTATCGGTGTGTGATCATTTTGCCACGTGCATTATTAGCTGTTCATATATTCGTGTCATGATTTTTCTTTGTTTTGGTGGCTGCCGCTTCGTGATCTTGATTTACTTTTCCAAATTTGAGCGAAAAGATTGAATCTTTCTGCTGTAAGATTCGACGTTTGGGTTTAATAGTGCTTTGACTTTTGCCTTCAAGAGTTGTGAGGGTTTATAGTTTTATTCTGGTTGTGGGGTATTCTCAACTCTCAAGTCACATTGTGCTTATAATTGCCGGATTGTGTCACTGAAGAATTTTGAGGTTCATTGGATCTTGTGTGATGTCTTGGGATTAAAAATTGCCAAATCTTGATTCAAGAGAATGCAGAACGAATATGAGATGTGTAGCAAATATCTGCGGCCAAGTTCTTTTATTGCTCTGTAGTCATACTTTGGCTGAATGCGCATTCATGGTGTAAGAGTGGTTTCTGTTTGCGATAGAAGTTGGAGGATGTTAGATGATAGCCATGCCAAGAGTGATGTGAATTATAGGAAAATGGAAGTGCTGTTTCGATTATGTTATTATCTAATATAGCTCAGGAATCTTTGGAGTCTGATGGAAGGTAGAGCTAAAACTTGTGTGTTATGTGCTGCAAAAAACCTTTATTTTCGTATTGTTTTTTCCCCTCTTTCTCTGTGGAATGACTATGTATAGATTTTTCTCTTCTTAGCTTTACTCTTGATTTTTCATGCTGGTGAGTTTTAACTAATTATTGAACGCTAACCTTCTGTAATCAGGGATGCTTATGGGTTTGCCGTGAGACCGCAGCATTTACAAAGATATCGTGAATATGCTAATATATACAAGGTTGATTTCTTATTTCCCAGTTTCACTTGAATTGTTTGTAGTTATGTACTAAGATTTGCAGAGAAATGGAAAAAAGAGACATGCTCCTCATGTTTTTTATGTTGCACCTAAACTAATTGAACAAATTGGTTTCTTTAAACTTGCTAGTGTTCTAAGACAAGCCTGGATAATCATTTCATTTTTCCACAATACTCCTTTTAGGAAGAAGAGGAGGAAAGGTCTGAGAGATGGAAAGATTTCTTACAACGACAATCGGAGTCTGCTGAATTGCCTAAGAATGGATTATCTGGAGATAACAATGATGTTCAGTATCAAGCTGGAACTGAACAAGAGAGTGCTCAAGAGAGTACTGATATTGCTGACCATAAGACCAGTTCTGACAGTTTGATCCAAAATGAAGAGGAAGGGGAGCCGCCAAAGCCCAGTGCTAGAGTCCATGCTGTTCAAATTTGGACTGAAATAAGGCCGTCATTGCTTCCGATTGAGGATATGATGAGTTGTCGTGTCAAAAAGACTACTGGTTCTGTGAATAGTGAGCAAATCGTTGAAGCAGGAAATCCCTTGCCTATTGAAGAGGCTCGACCAGCAAAAGGAGCATCTGAAGATGACTCTGAGGAAGAGTTCTATGACTTGGAAAGATCAGAATCAGATATCCTTCAAGACGCGTCTCTAGCTGATAGTGCTGGTGTCATAGGTACAGAGACTGGTGGTGGCGGTTCCTTTCCTGAATCTTTGCCTCCTTGGAAAGAAGAACTAGAGATTCTTGTTCAAGGTGGCCTGCCGATGGCTCTTAGGGGAGAGGTAGCTTATCTGCATTTTACCTACTTTGTGTTTATTACGACTCTATTTACTTTGTCTTCTTTGTTCCATATTGCAGCTTTGGCAAGCCTTTGTTGGTGTGAAAGCGCGTCGTGTGGAGAAATACTATCAAAACTTGCTGGAGTCAAACACTAAATCTGTCAATGGAGAAATGGCTTTGGAGGAGAGTGACAAAGAATTAACTGTGGACTGTATTCCTGAGAAATGGAAAGGACAGATTGAAAAGGTATTCCCCTCTCTCTCTCTCCCTCCCCCCTCCCCTTTATTAAATAAATTTAGGCCACTCTGAGTTTGATTATAATGCTTAATATGTGAAGGATCTACCTCGCACATTTCCTGGTCATCCCGCTTTGGATGAAGATGGCAGAAATGCATTGAGGCGATTACTTACTGCCTATGCTCGGCATAATCCCTCTGTGGGCTACTGTCAGGTATTTGTGTACAGGAAATATTTATTGCTACTTTAATGTATATTTTGTCCCAAAATTTGTCTGGCATCTTTCTGGGAGATTTTGTGAACTTGTGTTTTTAATTTGAGCAGGCAATGAATTTCTTTGCTGGTTTACTGTTACTACTGATGCCTGAAGAAAATGCATTTTGGTGAGTGTGGATTTTGCTAAAGATCATTACCTTTTTGTCTGAATAAGTTCAGTTATCATTTACAGGATATAGTTGATTGGATTCTCTTTCCGTTAGTTAATAGAAAGGATTTTAACTTTGCGACCTCTTCAGGGCTTTACTGGGGATTCTTGATGACTATTTTGATGGGTACTATTCAGAAGAAATGATAGAGTCGCAGGTAAATGTCCTCATCTCTACTTATGTTGTCTTAATTAGGTTATTTCAAATTTGTCTAATGAATTGATACATGCAATATTATGTATGATAATTGTATTGTACATGCATCGAGGTGGTAAGACATGATTATAACTTGTTTTACTGCCTATCAGGTTGACCAACTTGTCCTTGAGGAATTGGTGCGCGAAAAATTTCCAAAGCTGGGTTGGTGTTAACTTTACCATTTGCTTTTGTTTTCTAATTGCAAAACCATCATACTGAATTAGTGGTTTGTCGGCATTAATCATCAAGTTTATTTATGATTCCACCTCCTTGTCACATTACAGTGAACCATCTTGATTATTTGGGAGTGCAAGTAGCATGGGTAACTGGACCCTGGTTCCTCACCATTTTCATGAATATGCTTCCATGGGAAAGTGGTAAGGTTCTTTCCTCTTTTTCCCTTTTTTAGTGTATGAAGTTTTTTGAGTCTACATTTGTATTTTCCTGGTGTCCTCGAATTCAGAGATGTTGCATTTGAAGTATCTTTTCTGTATGTGACTTGAATTCTGATGGTTGGAATTTTTTCCCAGTTCTAAGGGTCTGGGATGTACTTCTCTTTGAAGGAAACCGTGTGATGCTCTTTCGGACAGCCCTTGCTTTAATGGAATTATATGGTAATGGCATGAAGACTTTATCATCATCTTCCTCATTCTTGAAGTTCATCTATTTCAACATCTTTTGTTCAGGAGAAAACTTCAGTTTTATATTTCTGTCCTTGTCATCTTCCTGAAAAGACAAGTATATTTTTCCTTCGATCAAACTGATTATTGCTTTGCTTTAATTAGGACCTGCCCTTGTCACTACTAAGGATGCCGGCGATGCAGTAACTTTACTTCAGTCTCTGGCTGGCTCAACGTTTGATAGCAGTCAACTGGTTTTGACAGCATGCATGGCCTACCAAAATGTTACTGAAGTCAGATTAGAGGAACTAAGGAATAAACATAGGCCATCTGTTAGGGCTGCTATCGAGGAAAGGACAAAGGGACTGCAGGCCTGGAAGGATTCTCAGGGATTGGCGTCTAAGCTTTATAGCTTCAATCATGATCCTGGATCTATCATTGTCGGGGCCAACAGAGCAGATAAAGGGGGTATTACTCATATGAACGGTAATGCATCTCCATTGCATGTTGAATCTCCTACAATGGGTCAGTTGTACACAGGCCTGACAAGTGATGGGGTGATTGATTCTGTTCCAGATCTTAAAGAACAGGTAGTTTGTCCTCCTTATTTCCTCCATAATTATTCAGTTCTGGGGTTTCATTATACGGTATTTGTTCATTCTGGAGAAGCATGTTGACCAGATCAAAATGGCAAATCATTCCCTGTTAGAATTTTGATTTGGACTAAAACGTAAGGGTCATACATCGCAGTGTGAATGCAAGTCATTATATTAAACAAGAGAGTTTTAATTGCCTTTTTAACATGAAATTGGGACTAATATTTTATGCAACTTGCATTGGAGTTTATTACTTTTAGTTTCGGCTATATTTTATACAAAACAATTGAAGTGGGTGAAATCTTCTGATATGATATCCCCCAGTATCTGCTTATTATTTTGGGGATTTTCATGTGGGGAACATCCACTTTGATATTGTGCTGCTGGACTTTCCCTTCTGTTTAAGGGTTTTATTTGTTAATGGCTAAACCATTGTAGCCAAAGTGCAATCATTCTGAACTTATTTTGTAGAAGGAAACAATTATAGGTCAAGACATCACTAAATTACTGGATTCTTATGATTGTGATAAAGTCATATTAAGTAGCAGTATGCCCCTACTCGTAAAACTGAATTCAAGTTCTATAGCCATAGCCTTGTTCTTAAGAAATCAACAAATTGATATATGTGTATGATATATTAATTTCATTCAACAGTGAAACTTGATGGACATCTTGGTTTACTTTAAACTGACAAAAAGATCTTTGGATTTTTCATTTTTCCCTTTTATCCCTGGTGACTAATCGGCTTACTGCAGGTGGTTTGGCTTAAGGTTGAATTATGCAAGTTGCTGGAGGAAAAGAGATCCGCTGAACTTCGGTAAATTTCTCTTTTGAAAATCTGAAATTCTCAAGTGATCAAATAGTATATGTTCTGGATGGTTTTTGGTACAAGAATCTATAGCTTCTCTCGGTTTGATTGAAACTGCAGGCTAAGCCAAAGTAGAAAAGAGTAAAGAATTGGGATTTTGTCAATTCCTTCTTGTACTTTTATGTATCTTCCAGTAATACTTCAAAGACGTGTCTAGTCTAGCCTTTGATATCTAGTAGCTTAGGACTTGTTGACGCATCCTACAGTTATTTTATGTTTTACCTTGTTTATATGTGTTGAAGTTGACGTTGCCGCTATTATATAACATTAGGGGGTAAAAATCTAACCAATAGTTTTTTTAAAACCTTTACTTTCCTGAACAAGATTCGATTCATTACCATAGGCCTTCGAAATGCACATTTGAAGTATCGATTCACGTAGTAATCTTATTCGTAAAACACTCCTTTGATCTTCTTTTGTTGCTTTAACAGATCAGAGGAGTTGGAAACAGCTTTAATGGAAATGGTCAAGCAAGATAATCGACGGCAACTGAGTGCTAGAGTATGTGAAAAATAGCTCATTTTCTTTCTTTACTTTTGTTCTTATACTAGATCTTTCATTTTTAAATCATCATCATATCCGCGCTATCTTGGCTACTGATTTATGTCCAACACATGAGTGTTTTGGTTTCAAATCTGTAATACAAATTGTGGCTTAATTAGGATTCCCTGTCAAGAAGGTTATGCGAGACTTCTGAAAAATTTCATAAATTTGGTATCGAAATTTAACCCAAACTCATTTTTTAATAGGTATCATATATTGTTTCCTTTGTTGAACTCAGATTTGTATGTAATATGCGTTCAAGTTGAATTCAAGGGATGATTGCTAGAGGTTTCCGTAATAAAAACGATTTATTTTGCTTTTCTTTTTCGCCTTTTGGGGAGGGGGTTTTGGGATACATTTCCATTTGCTGATAATGGTCTTTTTATGTCTAAAAGACATGGATGTTGATGTTTGAGAGTGGATATTTCTGTAGGTAGAGCAGTTAGAACGAGAACTTGCTGAACTTCGGCAGGCCCTTGCTGATAAGCAAGAACAAGAAGCTGCTATGCTTCAGGTGACACTTTATTCTCTTGTTGTCTAGTAACATTGGTGATAACCATCTTGTCATATTTAAATTTACTTGGGGAATTATTTCATGTAGGTTTTGATGAGGGTTGAGCAGGAGCAAAAGGTTACTGAAGATGCTCGGAGGTTCGCTGAACAGGATGCAAATGCTCAGAGATATGCTGCGCAAGTTCTTCAGGTTCCCTCGAGCAAATTCTTCTTCTCTTAAAGTAGATACTAGATACTGAGAGTTAGTTTATTTGTACTCGTTTCAAAGAGAGTGCAAGCGCTATATCTTAAACCCACAGAAGCAGATCTTGAGTTTCCAGTATCATCACTTCCAAATATTGACTGAAGTTTCTTATTCTGTAGAGTTTTTTTATGGTTCTTCTTCCTTTTGCGCTATTCTTCGGATTTTCTTGAGGTTCACTGCTTGGCCTATTGTAACTGTATTGGTATTTGGAATGTCGATGAGAGCCTGTAGCGATTTCTTATAATTTGGGATCTGACTTATGTAGTGTACTCTTGAAAACTACCTATCTTTTTTGAGTTATGTGGCCAATTGGAATGTTTCATCTTCTCTTTACATTTATGGGCTTCAAATGAAAAAGAAAAGTATAGTTTTGAATGCCAATGCTGTCATTATGTTTATAAGCCTACACAATGGTATTTGTTTAAGGCTTCTTGATCTGACGAGAAAATTGATGGGGCTGGATCAGAATAGGTTGGAATTTGGTTGGACCTGAATTTCTTGTTTGCATTTGTCTTTGAATGTCCATAATTTACATGATACTTAAGAGCATCTTTGTTTTGATCCCCAAGCGTTCATGTCCAGTGTGGTTTTTAGTTTACTTGTTCCCATGTAATTATTTGGGCTATCATGTCAAATTTATACTCTCTCTGATGTAGTGTCAATAAACACCTTGGCAGGAAAAATATGAAGAAGCTATTGCTTCCTTGGGTGAGATGGAAAAAAGGGCAATTATGGCAGAATCAATGTTGGAGGCCACATTGCAGTACCAGTCTGGACAACATAAAGCACAACCTTCTCCTAGGTATAATATCCCTATTTCTTTTGTTATTTAGTAGCAGTGTAGACACTTCTCATACTTGTATTTTATGATGCAATTGCCATTTACATGGACGGAATATTGGATTTTTTCGTGATTGTGTTGTCGCCCTCAAAGTAAACTCAAGTTCACCTGCAGGTCTGTACAGCAAGATTCCTCTCCAGTTCGAAGCAATCAAGAATCCTCTCAAGACATCCCCATGAGAAAGATTAGTCTGCTATCAAGACCATTTGGGGGTTGGCGTGATAAGATGAAGGTAGTTTGTTCATCTTTAAGGTTCAGAAAATTCTGCTCCATAATGTTAGTTATAAAAGAGTTATGTCTCGACCACAATTACGCAAAAGATCTCTGTTTAGTATGCTACACAGATGCAATATGCTGTAATGTGTATTTTGGTCCTCTGCACGTGTCAGATTAATTTAGTTACTTTGTGTATGACTATATACAGTTCTGGAAAACTGCTAGGGAGTTGGCTTTAGACAGACGACATGTGGAACAATTGGCTTGATTTGACTAAACTAATGCAGTACCATGTTGGAAATACTGCAGGGAAAGTCAAGTAATGCTGAGGATACCAATGATGACAAAACAGCAAACTTGAATGAGGAGCAGAATACAAATAACGAGCTGAAAGAAGCTAACGGGCATCAGCTGGATGATAAGGTATAGCATACGGTGAGGACTGACATGTTATTTGAGTCCCTGAAAGACCCGGGATAGCCACCCTCCACGATCTCGTTGGGCAAGATGAACCATTCTCCATCATAAATTGTAATTTTGGAGAATGGGGAATATCATTCAAGGTTTTGCCTCTATCCATCATGATGGGCAAAAAAGAAAAGCATAAGAAATTATAGATAGTAACAACATTTATTGGTTTGTTCATTTTAATAGAATAGAAACCACATTAGCTCAGGTGAACATAGTAAGATAGTAAACATAGATCTGGATCAATTTTTACCCTGCTGTAAAATAATACATTTTCATAGGCTTAAACAGAATCAGTACATAGATGGATGGATTGAACAGTATCACTTTTTTGTTTTTATTTTTAATTTTATGTAAGTTGCCTTCGTTTTCTACATATTCTACTTGTCCAAGAACACATATTGAACTGCTTCTCTATTGTTAAATACTTTGAAACGTATTTTGCCAAAACAAGCCGGCCAAGAGAGAAGTGTTTTGGGACAATGACATTTACCATGGTAGATGTTCATGATGAATGTCTGCAACAGTCGCCGCTTAATTTGCCAAAAGAACAAATAAAACTTGAAACTGATGTGATGTACTAGATTGAAACTAGAACCGCAACTCACGGTTTCAAACCCGTAGCCCAAACTATTTCGACATGGAACCATCAGTTTTGAAACCATGGCAATGTCTAGTTACAAGGATTTATATTCAACGCCTCAATGGTCCGAAAGTATCCGCAAATCCATTGTCTCAAATGTTCAAGAAATGAAAAACTGGTCAATAAGGCAAATTAATTGCATTGTTTGAAGCGAACAAAATCCTGGTCTTGAGTGGAGTAAAGAGAGAAAAGAAACAAAAAAAATGTCGGGAGATCGCATGGAAAGATGAAACATGATCGTTCAAAATGGCTTCTTCAGTTTCGGATATTAACATCCTACATATAACTTCTTGAGTTTCTTTACAAATTTTTATATGCTTTATACATAAGAATGCTACCAAGATGACCCTTTTTTCTCTATATGATGGACAAAAACACAAGAAACCTGCTAAACAGCATGGGAAAAATCCCAATCCTTCACAAAAAGAACAGAATAGAGGCATGGGGGACAGGTATATTTCAACAAAGATGCCTACGCATTACATGAAAATGTAATGAGCGGACTAAGTGAAAAGAATTGAAATTCCTGACAAAGCAACCATGCCGTTGAGCGAGCAAGATTCTTTTAGCTTTCTCATCCTTTCCTGAACAAAATGTAGCTTCTAGCCACAACTGTGACTCCAACCTAGACCATGGAAGAGGCACCAACCCTCAACACAATACGGAGGAAAATGGTAAGACGTCTATGAGGATGCACATCGTGCATACCAGAAAAACCATCTTGGCAACCCATAGTCCAAATGTTTACCAGCCTCCTGATGATCACAACTGAAGATGAATCTTCAACTAGTAAGTCATTTTGATTGTCCTTTCCACTCGTCCCTACTCCCTTCTTGATCTTGGAGTTGATGCACCTGAGCGGGCCCTTTGGACTGAATGGACTTCAGGATCATATTTCTGTGAAGCAAGATAACTCAGAGCTGTGACTACATCTGCTATGAGAGGCCGCATGTTTGGCTGCTCCTGAACACACATTGCTGCAACGGCTAGAGCTTGATATAATCCTCTGGGAGGGTATTGACCTTGAAGCATTGGATCAGCCATCTGTGAGAACTTCCTACGGTCTTTAAACAATGGTCGAGCCTGCACCGTTCAAAGTGGTTTAAATACATATCAATACTAGCTCCTCTAAAACAGCGATTGATATATTTCTTTACTTATCAATGCAATGCAACATGACTCTTTATAGCTTAATCCTAATCCTCAGATACCTTCTTATCTTAACTGAATGATAACAAAAAAATGATCCAGTAACGAATTTTTGAGTGACATTGTCGACAGTCGCAACAGCCAACTGAATGTACACAGCTTCCATTTAGAGTGTAAGTCATATACTGATATATTAGCTCTCATGCAGACAACTTTCTGCAACACTATAGCACATGCGCAAGCACAAGTTTATGAAGTTCTAAAGATAAGCATTGGTTTCTCATTACTCACAAATCCACCATTCATTTATTCAATTCTAGATGCTCTGGAAAAAAGGTTTGACAAAATAAAACTCATTAAAGCCATCCCCACATCAGATCAAATAATAAGAGCCAAAGTCAATGGATCTAAGTTACCTTTACAATCAGCAAAAGAACCCTCTTCCGTAATTACTAGATGGTTAAGCTTCATTGGCTTGATATAACCAAATAAATTATAATCATATGAATGACTAATTATTTCAAAACGACCAACTCTTATCAAGAAACTGGTCAGATTTATTCCAAGCAAATGACAAGAACAACTCTAATGCCAAAATGTGCTTTTAAGTTTATATTATGCTAGAACCATCAAACTAGATCAACTAATGCCAGGCAAGAAGACCATAAAACAACAAATATCTTACCCATGCAACCAAGTTGTGCTCCCCAGCAGCTTTTGAGTTGTCTATAGCTTTTCTGCCAGTGATGATTTCAAGAAGAACAACTCCAAAACTGTAGACATCAGATTTCAGAGTAAGCTGCCCAGTCATTGCATATTCTGGTGCACAATATCCGTAAGTTCCCATTACTCTGGTTGAAACATGTGTATTATCCCCAATAGGTCCCAATTTGGCTAACCCAAAATCTGACAGCTTGGGATAGTAACCTTCATCAAGTAGAATATTTGAGCATTTTAAATCTCGATATATAACAGGAGGGCTTGCTTTATCATGCAGATACTCCAAGCCTTTGGCAGCACCAGCAGCTATTTTCATTCTTGTATTCCAGTCAAGTGGTTTTTTGTCAGGTGGAAGGTCTACAAAACAAGTCAAGACAAACATTAAGGAATTGGATACCACTGTGTGAGAAATCATTTAATTCCCAGTGTAAATGATATGTGGTAAAGTGGTAGTTCTACATAACTGCATAGTAAACAAAACGCTAATGATTCTGTGAATAGAACTAGCAGCATTTCCAAGCCAAATTCTAAGGTACCAGAGAAGGACAAATGAGCAGTTTGGAGCAGCACTAAGAGCTGTAGCCATGTGGCCTCAGGTCAAAGACTTGCAGGTTCGAGAAATAGCCTCTCCCACAAAAATAAGACAAGGCATCCTTGATTACGCCCTAATGCCCTCAATGTTCCTTAAACTCCACACAATATCGAAGCTTCTACACAACGGGGGGACTTTTATCCTTTTTTTTTTCAAGTTTTATTTTCTATTTTTTATATTTTTGTGCATGTGAAATGTCTTTTAAACTCTTTTACAAGGAAAGCTAACATCGACACAAAGTTGCACAGGAATTAAAGAATTAAAGAAGTGTCATAAAAAGCAATATCAATTCAACTGTAAGTACCATAATGGAGAAAAGATGGGCAGGTCTGTGTTTCTCAAATATCCATTCCACTGAAAGACAGGGATTGATTTCAGTGTGCCATAGTGAAAAAATATTTGACAAGGTAAGAATGCAATCAACATTTTGTACAAAGATATAGATAAAAGTCTGAAAACAATGTGATCTTCTGGATCACAGAAATCGTAAGTCTCTGCAGAAGGTCCACAGGACGTCTAAGGAAAATGAGAAAATTATGCGGAAAGGCCTAATGGTTGAATCAAATAGTTACTTGAGGAATCTGACATCAGACGTACCATGAAGATGATCCTCCAGAGATCCTAATGGCATGAATTCGTAAACCAGAAGTCTTTGATCTCCATCAGCACAGTATCCAATCAAATTCACCAAATTTGAGTGGTGAAGTAAGCTTAACATCAGTACTTCAACAAGAAATTCCCTGTTTCCTTGCAAACCATTGCGATCAAGTTGTTTTATAGCCACAACCTACCCAAAGGGAAAAAAAAAAAAAAAGAGTTCAATTTTGTCACGATTTTACAGAGTTGCAGATAAGAAAGGCGACAAGCAGGTACCGAATATAAAATTTACCAGCACTAATACATATCAAAAGTTCAAAGATTAATTATATAGAAGAATTAACACAGATAGAGGAGAAAGAAAGTAGATAGTAGTCACAATAATTCAAGTTCTACTTGGGAAGTCAAATTTCACAATAGACCACAGGACAAATAAGTAGGGATAATTTGTAAAACCTGGGGTATGTGTGCCCAACATTCAAGCCTTCTCATTAATTTTGTTTTTTTAGAAGACATGCCTATTAAAAAGTACTATCTTGTCTCCTTTTTTAAAAACAAAATTTCTTTGGTTCTCCATGAAAAAGTAAAAGTTAGAAAAATGAACAAGTAAAAGAAAGCAAAATGAATCAGGCCTTGAATTTAAAAGTCAAAGCAGCTGTCACTCAAAAGTAGACATAAGGTTCATGGGATCAGATAACTGGAGTTTTCTAAAGTTAATCTATGCAGACGTAACTGCAAAACAACATACCTGATTTGTACTCTCTAATCGCCCTTTATACACTTTCCCAAAGCCTCCTTCTCCTAACAGACAATCACCCCTAAAATTTTTTGTGGCAGCTGCTAATTCACGAAATGTGAACGTATGTGCAGCAATAGGACCAGTTCCTCCATCTTTTGGAGTTTCATTTTTCATATTGTATGAATTATTTACCTTTAGCTTCTCTGCAATCATTAATCAACAAATAGATAGTTAAAACGAAACATGAAAAAAAAACTGGCATCAATATAAAGCATTATTCAAACCATTCATATACTTCAGAGTGATAGCAGTTTTTTACACGACCAATGCATACTAAATTCCTATGCCTCAAAACTGATTACTGCAGCATTCCCTTCTTACAGCGTCGATGTGACATTTCAAAGTCTCTAGTCAAACCAGTATAATTCGAAAAATGTCATATTTCATCAAATTTAATATTCAAAATTAGACACCATGGAATCGACAAGAAACCATGGGAATCCACAGCATTTATAGCAGATGCTTACATACTGTGATGAGAGCAGAATAATGTCAGAAACTCAAACACTTAAAACAACCCAATCCCACAATGAGTTTTCTGAAAAGATTCATACTTTATATCTGGTATAAACTTCCTTAACACCGTTAAAAAGTTAGCCAGGGATAAAACAACCCAAATGAAGGAAATTAGTTGCGATTCCATCACTTCAGATGATAAGAAAAATTCAAAATTAGAACACATTCAAATACCATGTCAGCATAAGATATCAATCTTGCAGTCAAATCCTGATAACCTGAGCTTGGAAGTGAACTAATTTACTGCTTTGACGCCGGAGATACTGCTATCATTCCGGAATTCAAATCTCAAGGGACCCAATAAACAGAACAATAAAAAAAAACGATCTTTATGGAAAAACCAAGATATAGGCAAGGAGCCCCGTAAAAATAACGTTCAAATTCAACAGGGAAACCAAAAAAAAAAAAAAAACATTTTTTGACAAGAAAAAATTGCAAAATGGATCAATCAAAACGGCCTGGGCATGAAGGAAAAGAGCCCAAATGTCTAATTGAAAAAACATCCTGCCCTTTATCAAAATCGAAACAGTAAACAGTAATGTCTGGATTAAAATGAGCCATTCTTTGTGGGTTAAATGAATAAGTACCTATTGATGAAGGGATCTGATCATCAGAAGCTGTGTGGGTTTTTTGGGACTGAATAGATTTCTTCTTTGATTTTCCTGAGCAGAGGAACCATCCCATGGCTTCTTTTCTGGTCTGTTTCTCTCTCTCTCTCTCTCTCAGCCTGCAATCTATCCCGAAAAACAAAACAGCCCGAAAAGAACAACAGCCGAGTGAGAGACGTAAAAGAGGAAAGAGAGAAAGGGTCCAACAAAAGCAGACCAAACACGATTTCAGACAGACAGCAGAGAGAGAAAAGAGAGTGTGTGTGTGTGTGTGTGTGTGTAATATAATTGAATTGGAGAGAGAAAGCCCTGTTTGGACATGGTCTTGCGTTGTGTTTGTTTTTTTATTCTTTGGTATCTAAATATAGTTTTTAGATATTTATTATTATTTATTTTTAACAAATACTCCATATATTTTTAAAATAAGGAGAAATTTCTTAGGGTATTTCTAAATACGGTGTAAATTTTCATAATTCATCTCAAGAGCATAACTAAATTTTTAATATTTTAATTGTTTTGTTAGTTACTTGTGCCCTTAATAATCTGACTTATGTTTATTTGTTACCAAAATTTTTATTCTCTAGCGTCCTCTTGAATTTGTGATATCTTACAAAAGTAGGAAAATGAAAAAATATTAACTCGAGTAAAAATTTAAATAATACGTACTATTTTATTTAATTCTTTTGTCTTCTTTTTTCTTTCTACGAAGTCGATAATCAGATAATATTTTATATAAAAATCAAATTTTTAATCAGTAATTTTCTCATACTATTATTCTTTTTTTACATTTTCTGCTTCCTCAAAGTTATGATAAAAAAAAAAAATGTACTCATCAATATAATCTCATTTTCCACGTACCTGAGGGGTTTGTTTAATAATGTTAAAATTTTGTATTTTACTTACATTTTTATTCAAATAAAAGAAAAGTAAAAACGCTCTTAAAAACATTGCAAAACGGGAAATGAAAAAAGGGAGCATAGGTGCAGATGTTAGAGTATAAAAAATTGTGAAATTAAATCACACGTTTACATATGATCTTAAAACAAACAATGGGCTATGGTCGTGGTCGCACATCTCAAAAAGTTGGAAATGCAGCTTCTAAAAAACATGAATAAGTTTGACAAAAATAAATAGTAACTAAAAAAAACAATTCTATGAAATTTAAATGTTTTCTGGAAGCAGTTGTATTAGGATGCAAAATAAAAAAATAAAAAAAATGTATGCCTAATGCCTCGATGGTGTTATATAGGTCCATTACTTTATGAATCATTCCTAAATTTTTGAAAACGGGAAGTACACGCATTTTAGGAAGAGTAAAATCACTTACTGGTCCATCATATGTATTTCGTTATTAAATGATAAATCTGATCATCAGCCCGAACAAACAAAATATTTTATTTTAGTTTTTATCTTGTTACCTTTATTAATTTTTCCTTTCCATTTTTTTCCTTTTAAATATAATTAGTGAATTTGAAAACTAGTTGCATATCTTGCGTTGAATTGGTTATTATTTCTATAAAATACTAGTTTTTTTTTAATTTTCTTATCTCGTCAAAGTCAAAATAGTTAAAGTTGTTTTATGTTCGAAACGAGATTTAAACATATAATTTGGTTGAAGTAAGTGAAGTCTTTCCAATCTACCACAATTCTTTTGGAGAAGCATATACATTATTACTAATCCTTGATTAGATATCTTGAAAATTATGCCCTTTTATAATAAAAATTCGAAGCTAGACAACATAAGAAAAAATTATGAAAAAGAATGATATTTGGAGGAAAACTTTTAGGCGGGAAATTCGAGGGCGTGACACTTCGTGAGTTGTTTGTCAAACCGTGTTTTGTTTAATAATATTTTGTGGAATGAAAAAAAAAAAAGTATTATTGTTTGCCAACCCTCACAAATGTGTCACTTTCACCTGTATTTTCCTCCTCTAAATAAGTGTACATTAAACATTTGCGTAGGCAATAAATATACAGTTTTTTTTTTTTCTGAAATATACAATACAAAATTTTGTAGTGTCTTGGTTCAGTCCACATCAATCAAATGTTACATCGATCATTACCTGAATGAAAATCAAATTGTAATCTAACAATTTGAATTAGTAACTAATTAAATAATTCAATCACGATATTTAGTAATTCTTTTTTAAAAAAAAATTATTGGGGTGGCATTACAGGGGCATTGACAATTTTTAAAAGTTTTTTTTTTGGGTGAGAGAATAATGGGATACATGTCGCCCTTCATTGAATGTTAAGTACACTCTGCCACTACCTGCCACATATTTTAATTCCCCTTGGCAATACTTAATTACAAAAAAATCATGGGTATTAGAGTAATATAAAAAATTTTATCTTTATCTTATGACAGGGATTGCATTTGTTCAAATCTTATAAGAAAACTGGAAGTAATAATAATTTGTTAGTCATAAGTAAGTAGTTGGATGATTTCTTGGGATTCCATGCTCATGTTTGCAGTTGGACAAACCTCATTCAAGCCTTTGTTTAACTTTGTTTTTTATTTTCTGTTTCCAGAACATTTAACAAGTGTCGGTAATTTGGGGCAGTTGGTTTAGGTAATTTTCTTTTAAAAAAAAATAACAGTTCATTAAATTTGTTGAAATTCAGTCAATTCTATTAGTGTAGGTATTTTTTGTTTGAAGCTTAAAAGATATCGCTAGCCCAGTATTGAACGATTCAGTCAATATTTTATAATATAAGATGAATAATAATTTTATAATGTTTGGTGATTATTTATTTTCATAATAATAATAATATACTTCAAAAAAATCAAACAGAATTAAAAAAAAAAAAAAACTACTGATAGGTTATAACAATTACCAGTAAGACCAATTAACCCTACGTGCTATACTTAGCTACAATTGAAGAGGTACATAATAATTCGATAACAAGTACAGATCAAAGCTAAACTAAATTGGGTATTGTGTAGCAATTTTACTGTTTAAAATAAACAAATATTACAAAGGGGGAAAAAAAGTGAACTTTCTTACGAAAAAAACTATAATGATTAATTTCACACATACTTCATACATATCTGACTTTTAATATTATGTATTTATAACTGTTATAAGACTCAGAATGTCACAATTCCATTCTTATGAATCTTAAAACCCATTTTCATCTTCGTCTTATTTGGTAAACAATGGATGTGTCTACCTTTCACTCTCTATTGATAACAAGAAAAAAAAAAGAGTAAAATAAAATAAAAAAGAAAAACTAAAGTTTCTATAAAAGAGGGACGAAAACTTTCATAAGACAATAACAAAAACTATCGCTATAGAGAAAAGAACTTGTTAGAAAACAAAAGGCTTATGAATCAAGGTGCCATTGTTCAAGGCAGATTCATTTTACATAACAATTGTTCAACGTGGATCCATTTTACATAACGTTCTTTTGACTAAAGAACTAATAAGATTACATGGAAGAAACACTGTAAAGCCTAATTGTCTTATGAAAGTCGACCTTAAAAAGGTTTTTATTCTATTTATTGAAATTTCATTGAAGAAATGCTAGGCTATTATGATTTTCCCCCAAAATTCATAGGCTTGGTAATTGAATGTATAAGAACTCCCAGTTACTCTATTAATCTAAATGGTTCAAGTACAGGTCACTTTAGGAGAAGAAGATGCCTCAAACAGGGCGACCCGCTTTCTCCACAATTGTTTGTAATGGTGATGGAATATTTAAATAGGATGTTCAAGTTGGAAGCGGACAAGGGGGAATTTAAATACCATATCCACAGTGATAAACTGAAAATCATCAGTTTAAATTTTACAGATGACCTGATAATTCTAAGACAGGCAGATATTCTTACTGTCAGGAGAATTAAAGAGGTGTTACAGCAGTTTGAGGCAATTACAGGAGATACAACCCAGATGGGTCAATGGCCCCAGTTGGGAATTTTTTTTTTTTTCTTTTGGCTAGTTACCCTTTGATATTGTGTTAATTTTTTTTGTAAAAATATTATTGTTTGCCCCATTTAAATTGAAATTATTAAGGGGCAAGTATGTTAAATTAAGACTTTGATAATTTTGCCCCACTATATGTATGGGTTCTAGTTACGCCTTAACTACACGACCAACTGTGAGCATTCCAAAGTCGAATCTCACTTTGGAGGAGTGAATGAAGAAGTGCAGGAGCAAATTTAGCAAACAATGAGCTTCTAGATAGGTAATTTCCCCATTCATTACCTTAGTATTCCAATTTCACCATGGTCTCAATTAGAGCGTCAAGCCTTAGTTGACAAAATTGTAACTAGACTTAAATGTTGATCATCTTGGAATTTGTCTTATTCTGACAGATTAATTTTGATTAGCACAATACTTATGAATTTGCACTCTTACTGGTCTAGTGTATTTTTAATTCCAAAAATTGTGATTCATCAAATCTAAAGAAATTGTAGGGAGTTTTTACGGGGGGAAAAAGAATCTGGGAACTGTTGCTCCCTAGTTGCCTGGGAAGATGTTCATAAAAGTAAAAGTGAAGGTGGGCTACACATTAAAAATCCAGTTGTTTGGAATCAAGCCTTAGTTAGAATGCAACTTTAGAACATTGAAAAGCAAAAAGAAAGTTTTTGGATCAAATGGATCCATGTCTACTACTTAAAAGGTTAGTCGATCTGGAGTTATGATCCTCCTGCAGATAGTGGATGACATTAGAAAAAATTACTGGTAGTACAACACAAATTGAAAGAAGGTATTTTGCAAGGGATTTGGGATGGTTCTGCTGAGAATATACTCAGCTAAGTCTGGTTGTAGATGGCTATTAGGTGAGCATAGAAGAAGTTCTGCTACTAAAATAGGCTAGACATTATAATATTCAGAAACATTGTTTCATCTGTTGGCTTGCTATAAGGGCTCGTTTGCTCACCCAAGAGACTGCAAAAAATGCAAATGCTAAAAGAAGTTACGCACTGTGAACTTTGCTCAGGTACAGTAGAGAATGTTGATCGTCTTCTTTATGTGCTCTTATTCTCAATTGTTACTGCAACCTATTATGAGTTGGTTAAGAGTAAGCTGAATATCATAGTTCTCAGATACAGTATTGGCAGAATTCCGAGTACTTGGAGGTATAAAAAAGTGGACCAAAAGGTTTTATATGCTACAATCTCTTCCATGATTTACCATATTTGGGCAGAGAGAAACGCAAGGAAGTTCCAGGGACTCAAAAAGGAGGCTCAGGTCAGGGCAGATTTGATAAAGATGGAGTTGGTATAGAAAATCTAGTTTTGCTGCAAATCCAATAATAGAAATGAACTCAGATATTTAAATAGTATTGGGAGAGAGAAGCAGTAATATACATGTAATAGTATAGATTAAAGATTTGTACATATGCAATTTTAAAAAGTAATACAAATTTTACCATTTTACCCAAAAAAAGTTATAGATCGTTTAATCAAATTCTGAACCAGAAACAAAATATATAGAATTAACTCAATGTATGGGGTTGGGATGGAATGTTACACATTCTTCACATTATAGTTTATAAAAAAAGGAAGAAGAAAAAAGTCTTCTCGTTATGAAAATTCATCTGAATTTTAAACGGTATTTTTTTATTTTCTACTTCTTATTTTTTTTAATAGCTTTCATTCGGATTTTGTATCTCCAGTTTTTTTTGTCCTCATTCCCCAAGCTAATAATTACATACCGACTCCACAATTTAATATGGTTGGCATTTTCATCCTTTTCTTTTTTTTCTCTTTTGGACATTATGTACTCCTATCACATTATTTTTAAATCAAAATAAAGAGGAAAAAAAAAAATTAATTCCAAAATGCCTTAAGCAAATTGCGGATATTGCAGCTATTATTTAACTTCTCATAAATTATATTTTGGAGAATTTGTTTTTTTATTATTTAATATTTGACCAATTCATTTCAAAATGACTTCTATTTTTATTATTTAATAATCAACTCCAGGCTCCAGAATCCTCTCTTTATTCTTCAAAAGAATAAGGTAATCATTCAAACTATAATTTTTTTTTTTGGGGTTGAATTCATGTTGAATTCATATAGTATAAATTTTTATTTGGCGAAAAAATCTGATATTTATTCAAAATTTTTAAAAAAGAAATAAAAACTATCTGTATGAATTCCACATCTATAAATATGTTAAAAATCATTCCTCATATCACAAATGGAATACGATCTCTAAGAAATGTGACCAAGACGTTATAGGAATCAGGTTTTTTTTTTTTTTTTAAAGTAAATTTGGGACAGAAGGACGGAATATATTATATTATTGAGATTAAATTTTTGCAATTCTTATATAGATTAATGTTATGCTTGGTTTTCTATACTCTTAGTATAATAAAAAACACAATTTTAATTCGATTTTCTAAGAAACGTAATATCTTAAAATTTGTGTAATATATATTTTTTTAATACAATTTTTACAAGTACCTAAGCTATTACACGTGTGAGTCTGGGGGAGGGGGATCTACTACTAGCCTAATTTGTATAATACTTTTTTTTTGATACAATTCTTACAAGCACTTAAGTTATTACATGTGTACAACTTAGTCTAGTAGGGGATGACTTTACGCCAACAACGCCTTTTTTCGAGCGTTCATTGAATGCTCGTAAAGCTTCCATTTGCAACCTGCAAAGAAAGGCAGCATTTTGCTGCCGTGGAGTTTCGAATCCAAGACTTCCGGGTTGGATGACTAGCCCCTTTACCACTTAGGCTACCCTCTGGGTAAATTTGTGTAATACTCAATGTTGGTAAACTGAAAAAAGAAAAGAAGGAAAAAAGTGAAAAACATAAAACCATCCTAAAACCCTTCGGTCGTGAAAAGTCAACCCGGAAGAAGAAAAACCGGGCAAGATCTTCCGAGTTCCGACCATTTCAGTTCCACTTTACCAGCCAACGAATCTATGAGCGGATTGTACAGTTCTCCATCTCATAGTTTACTGGAAGAAGCTCTGAGCTTTGGAGAAGCTGATGACGCCGTTTATTTGAGCTCCTCCCGGCCTAAGGCCGCGCTTCCGAGCGGCGGCGGCGGCGGTGGCGGAGGAAGTGGCACCGTGGTGCTGATTGAGGATTGTGTTGAGACCAATGGGGGTTTCATTCTCCACCACCTCATCAAGCGCGCGCTCTCCCCGAACCGCCCCTCTGACGTCGTCGTTTTCGTTTCATTCGCCCACCCTTTCTCTCATTATGACCGCATCCTCCGCAAGATGGTATTTTTTTAAAAAAAAATTTGGCTCTGTTTTCAGCTCTTCTGTCATGTATGAATTGAATTTCATTAGGATGTTCTTCTTGTTTCTGTTTTGTTTTTCAATTTTATTTGTCTTATCACATCATAATAGGTTCTGAGTAAATATGTAAAAATTTTGTTTTCTCGACCCTAAGTTGTGAAACAAAGTTATGTTTATTGGTGCTACATTTTTTTTTGTTTGATTTGAACGTTTCGAGAAATCTCCAACTTTAGGTTCATAATGTAGTGTAATATCATATAGTAATTGATATTTTACATGGCATTAAGAATTGTTGGTGTTGCAGGGTTGCAATTTATCCGGGCACCGGGAGAATAAGCGATTCATATATCACGACATGCTTTCCATGAACTCTCCAGGTAAGAAAAATGAGCAATATGTCTTGAACGAATTTATTATGCAATTTTCTTCTTTCTTTAGAGGGGAGAATTCATTAGTTTGTTTTTAATTCATATTTGTTAGGTGCGTTGCTTTTGGAGGGGTTTGGTTTTTATTATGTTGCCAACTTCAGATACTAGTACATCAGACATGCATTTGATGCTTCCTATCATTCACTTATATTAGTCCTAATGAGTTGAAATTTTAGGTGTCATGAAGTTATTGCAGATGTTAAAAATAATCAAAAGTTTATATCCTCTTGGAGTTGGAGTATAACTTAGATAGAATTTGAGTCACTTATCTCGTAGTAATGCAGAGATTTTGGGAATAATAATTGTATTGATCAAAGTACAAATTTTGGTTCAACCTTAGTTGAGCTTCTTGAAGTAGGCTTGTTGCTGGTTTTACAAAATGGTTAGGCTCGATGCTGTGTTAGAAAAAAAATATTCCACTTTTCAACAGTTATGGTGATCTCAAGCTACATTCACAAGATCCTCAAAGTGTTTAACTATCTAATGTTGCCTTTGATGGATGCCAACTTGAAAATTTACAGAATAAGATAGAATAGTCTATTTCTTTTGTTATTGTTACTTTTGATATTACATCACTTTGAGATTCAAGAGATCTGCTTTCTGAAATTTCTTTCGGTTACATGTAGCCTCCTTTCTCTCCAAAGATATGGAGTAAATGCCTCTAAATTTAAAGTGGGCTATGGTGTTTATTTTCTTGTCCCCTGCTACAATCTTGGTTTTAGGAGGAAGAGTTTTCAGGAAGTCATTAGAAAGATGTATTTGTCTCTGTTTCCTACATTTTTCTTTTTCTTTCTATAGCTTTTTTAATGACTCGATACTTTATTTCTAGCTTATTTTCGTAAAATTTTAGTCCTGTTGGGTTGTTTAGGCATGTAAATTTATTTCTTACTGGCTTTAGGTTCGGTAAGAGATGGTATTGAAGCTACAGATGACTTGCTTATGACTCTATATGGGAAAATTCAAAAAGCAGTGGAACTCTACTCTTCACCTGAAGGAAGCAAGCATGTCACCATTATGATTGATGATATTTCTCTCATGGAAGTGGCTGTTAATGGCTTATCCAATCACGTCGTAGATTTTTTACATTACTGCTATAGTTTAACAACACAATTTGTAAGGCATTATTCTGAATTCTTGCTCTGTATATTATGTTTTACAGTGTGTATGTTGGAGTGCTTACTTCTGCCTGTAAAACCAAATTTTAATGAATGACATGTATCCTCAGGGTTGCTCGATGATCATTCTTAATCATGAAGACATATATTCCAGCTTGGAGCAGCTTAGCCCACTTCTTCATTTGGAGTACCTTGCAAACGTCGTCATAAAGGCAGAACCTTTAGCCACTGGTTTGGCAACCGATGTTCATGGCCAGGTGCAGTAATTGTCATGATATTTTCATACACTTCAATTGGGATAGTGCAATTTGTCCGCCAATAGCGTTCTGCTAAATCAGTTTCTCTATGCATTTTCTCATATTTAGGACTATATAGTTAATCTTTTTAATAAATAATGCAGAGAAAAATTTTAAGTTTGATGGGGACCTAGCAAGGTAAGCAAATGGTTAGCAAAAATAAAAGTAAAAATGTCTTGAATTCGATCATCCTATTTATAGTTAACGCTAGTAAGAAGGAGCAGTGTGTTACTTCTGCTGCTGAGGTGTAATGTACACATTCTAATTGGTGATCATTTGTGCAATATACAGCTGACGGTGTTCAACAAAGGGATTTGTCGACGCAATGGAAAATCCAAAAGCAAGATTCGCAATTTCCAGTTCAGAGTTAAAGAAAACAAGGTTGAATTCTTCTATCCGGGGAGCCAGACATGAACTCATGAACTCAGAACCACTGTACATCAGTTGATAATATAAAGGGCTCTTGAATTTCTAAAGTTGGTTCCCATTTATTTGCCCCATGATTATATTTATTATATCCGATTGATGTATGTTGCTCATTGCTCAACCTGCATTTGATTTTGTGCTACAAGGACAACTTTATGAGATAGCTTGAAAAGAGAATCTGATGTAAAGAGCTGGCTCCCATATGCCGGCATGGAATGCAAAAGCAAAATCAAACGTTAACAAAAGAAAATCAATAAATCTCAACTCCTTTCAAAGATTTTGATAATGATCGAGAATAAGATGTCACATGATTCAACCAATTTCACATATGAAGGTCAACAGAAACCGACTTCCTTTCTCCCTTTGCAAGCAGAGATAGACGGCTAGCAGGAGGTATGGGAGTTAGGCTTAAACCAAAGGCTAAGCAATTACCTTCGGATAAATTGCGTGAATGTGATTTCCCTCTACAGTAAGTGTCAATTAGGTGCCCCGTTAATTCTAACTTAAAAATAAGTTTAAACTCCATAGTACTATAAAAATAGACAATGAGGTGGAGGTTTATCTCATTCAAATTTAAATGAGTCGGAATAATAATTTTATATTAAGTGTGTAACACGCAAAAGAGGAAAAAAAAATTAAAAAAATAGTGAGGTGATAGGAAAAGTGCACAACTTAGATTTCTATTATGCAACAATGACATTATGCCTTCATCATATTCAGTGCCTTAACCTTTTATTACGCAATAACGTTATTACATTTTATCCAGTCTTATGAAAAAATAAAATATAAACAATTTGTTGTGGCTTTCATTTCTTGTTGGTAATATGCAAGGGTGAAAATTTCTTTATTCTAGGGTTTAAGCACATTTACGTTACACTATATCCTTTTGTTTTTGGTGATGGAAGGTTCTTATAGATGGCGGCTATTACTTAATTAATCGGGGAGGAAAACAAAATATTATAAATAAAAAATTAAAAATAAAAAAGAAAGAGAGAGAGAGAGAGATCAAGGAAGTTAGACTATTATTTGGAGCACGTGATGAAAATGAATTGAGGATGAATTATGTGGGGGCCTCGTTTTGGTTTGATCTTGCAATCCGCACGTTGATCTTGAACAAATCTCTGCCCGCATTTCGGGTGACAGAAAAGGAAAGTCAGCGATTGGAAATGGTCGAATGTGGCCATTCTCAGACCAAACCCAAATGGAAAAACTTATCGCCAACATTTTTCCATTCATCTGTTTCGTCAAATCCTTAACCCAAAAAACACACACACAAACACACACACACACACACACACACACACAAACCTCAAAATTTCAGGCAGAAAAGAGAGAGAGAGAGAGAGAGAGAGAGAGAGAGAGAGAGAGAGAGAGAGAGAGAGAACACCATCCTTTGATGTGATTTCATTAATTTTGCTCCTCCGGACCGGCATCTTTTTACGTATCGAAAGCATGCAATCTTGGATTATTGATGTTTATACATACTAATCGTTGTACCATAATTTGTTATTGTCAGGGCCACTTCCGATGGAGATTATCATTTCAGCACCTTTCAAAAGGCACAACTGTCTTTAGCACATATTTTCCTAATCCTTCAATTTGATGAGGTTAGTAGTATTCATGATTATAAAAGCAAAACTATATCAAACCTAATTGTAACTCTATATTGCATGGATTTTGACGTGCATCTCTATAGGACACAGTATACATGATTAAATATAACGGTAAATCATTTCGGTCTTTTGGTTTTGGTTAATCATGTTCTGTACGTTGCTCGAGTTTTCATGGTTAAAATGTGTAAATCCAAAAGAAAAACTCACACACACACACACTGGGCATGGCTACCATTTTTCTTAGGGTTTGATATTTTCTTCATTTGGTGATGCATGGTAGCTTCCTTAAGAACTTAAGATTAAGGTGGGTGTTATATTTCTTCCTTTAATTAATGTGTTTATTTCAAATTTTAGGAATGTGGATCTGGGAAATCGTAGCTTGTGGTCATATTTTCATTTTTTTTTTCTTTTTGTGTTGGTTATTCATATATATTGTTATAAGTTTGCTTGAATGTATTCTTTACGAAACGTGGCCTAAAAAGGCGGATCAATATCACAAGTTTTAAGCAAATTGGATCTCAAACAGATTACTGTAAAATACTAGCACAGAAAAAAAAAAGCAAGTTTTTATTTTGACATGTGATGAAAATAAAAATAAGATGTCCTATTCATCCGGTGATTTTGTTACTGGCTGATTTCACACCATCTTTTAATTTGCACGTTTTTTTATTTAAGAGGTCGGTCTCTCTCTCTCTCTCTCTCTTTAAATTAATACGCACGTGGGAAATATGTCATTAGGGTAACACATACTCCAACCTTCTTCTCTCCTCTTCTCTAAACAGAAAAACACACACACAAAAAAAAAATCAATTGTCCGCAGAGCCAAGAGAGAGTTTTTGAACGACGAAATATCAGAAAAGCACCAATGGAATAACCCAAACGTTGTAGATTCATCATCATTCTTTCACAGATGACAGGCTCAGGTATGTACCATGTTTTTTTTTTTTTAATTGATGCATGCAATTCTTTCTAACCTTTTTTTTTTTTTAAAAAAAACTGTTAATAATGTTGGTTAATTTTTTAGAAATAGCGTAGAGATTAAATTGATTGAATGCATTTGTTTTTTTTTTTTCCCGTAATGACGCGATTTCAGATCTATTGGTTCCTCTGGTTTGTGTATTTGATTTCACTTGGGTTTTGTTTAAATATTGTTGATAATTCCATACCCAGAAGTTGCGGTTACAAAATGATATAAGAGTAAAGAGTTCATCTACATCGGTTTTGTTGGGTTAACCCTTTGCTTCTTTGACTCTTTCCCTTTAGTTTTTTTTTCCCTATTACTACCATTTCATTCAGTATTATTATATGCCCTTTAGTTTTGAGGAAATTGAAAGGTCGAATCGATTTGCATATTTCCAATCATCCTCGAACAATGGTTGGAGAAATGATCCTCTGAAAGTCCCTCTTGGACCATATTATCTCTCCCACAACCGTAATAGGTCCAAAAGATCTCCAACAATACATAGTTCATATGTTCCAAATGAATATAACTTTTATGTCTGTGCATGAATATAAACTTCAGGGCATCTTCCCTTTAGCCCAAGTCCTTTTTCAACCATTTTCATCCATACATCTTGGTTTGTGACTTTAACCTACCCCTTTCAATTAATAAACACCTGATAGTTAGTCACTGATACCACCACAATGAAATCTATTCTTGATGTAAACATCTAGCACTAGTAATCATACTTCACTTGCGGCTGTATTTGCCAGACATCTGTATATTAGAAAAATGGGAAATGGAATTTCATTGGAGAACTCAAAAAGAAGTCACAGATTCAGTCTGAGATACAGAAACCTGATCTTAAGAAACAAGCTTAAGAATCTTATTCTAGAATATATAAGGGGCGGAACTGAAACACGTGCTAATCATAAATTTTGAACTAGACCAGTCAGAATAGCCCAAGAAAGAAGTGTCATCCCAAAGTTACTATCTCCTCCACCATCTATCTGACCTTTCCTTCGTAAACCACCAAAGATAAAACCAAAATGCTCCTGCCCTATGTACTGATAAATGCTAACCCTCCTTTACACCTTCCTGACCAACTCACCCAATTGTAAAGGCAGGGTGTTAGGTGTCTGGATCGTTGCTTTTTTCTTTGCTCTTGTTTTCATCTGGCGTTTGTCGCACAAATTGTCCTCGGATCCGCGGCCTTTGTTCTGCAAGCTTTTTCCTGCTCTGATATCTTACCTGAAAATGCATCACAAGAACTAATTGTTAATATTTCTAATCATATTATTAGAGGAGCTTCCACAAAACATACTAATCGTATTTGATTATGCATCTGTAAAAAGGCATCTCTTTGGGGAACTGGAAATAAGCATATCAATAATTCTTTTCATATTACTGGAAGCTTAATTATCCTCCAAACATAAATATCAACCAACAACAAACTGAGTTATTCATATTGATTAAAGACCATCAGCCAAAGCATTATAGACAAATACCTTTTTCTCATAGCATCTTTCTTTCCTCTTCTGGCGAAACTTGTTCAAAGCAGCCTCTCTTTGTGCTAAGCGATCCTGATCTACACCACTCCTGCTTCCAATGACTACACCGCCAACCCCGGATTTTCCTGCCCCCCCATTATCGCTGGTCAATGTCCCTTCTGCAACAACAGCAGCACTGCTTTCATTTTGTCCACTGCTCCCGTTTTGCTCGTTGCTTCCATTATTACTTCCGGAGGCACTACCATAATTAGCAGCATCACCTTCGATTTCCACAATCAACATATTGGCTGTTCCAGATTGAGGTTCCCCTGTCTTCATCTTTCTCAAAGCCAAGCTTTCAACATTCAAAAGTTGCTTTTGTTGCTTCGAGCTATGGATGTGGTGGTGGTGATGGTAATAGTGGTGGTGGTGATGATGCTCCACTTGAGGTTGCTGTTGATTCGAACTTGTTTGCGCAGTTGCGCTCTTTGAACCATCAGACTTTACTGGGGCCACAGGCTGTAGGAGAGAACTTTGGCCATGCTGCACTGGTTGAAAAGCAGAACCAGGTCGAGTACCAACTGCAGTAGATCTGACTGCCAAGACTTCTGACTTAGAAAATACATTGTTTGTGGTAGATCCCATATCATTGTTGTTGCTACTGCCATTAGAACCCTGGTAAGGTGTACCACTCGAGTTTGACTGTAAGTTCTGAATGGATTCCGTCCGTGCAGCTCCTGAACTGTTATAAACTGGAGAACAGCTTCCAACAACCCCAGCCTGATTCGTGGTAGATACCGTGTTGTACCTGCCCAGGAAGTACTCAGTTTCACAGTTTTCAGATTAAGATTCTAGTAAGATATCTTCCAAATGTTAGTTCTTTTACCTGGAAAATGCTGAATGATCTGAATGTCTCAATATGTTACGTTCTTGGGTGCTGGTTCCAGCATCACATGCATCTCTGACTCTTTTCAAACTAAGCTCAAGGGATGGCAGTTCTTTTGCGTTGTAAGCGTCCATTTCTCTGAGTGTAGTAGCCTTGGATGGGTCATGTGGGGCCTCAGACTGCACACTCCTACCATGAGCCATCGTGACATTAGTAATGGCACCCATCAGATCAATCTCTTTGTCCTGTAACTTATCTTCTGCTTGCTCGTTGTGGTATTCTGTTAGCCCTTTTTCAATGTTATCCCTGCCTTGCTTCACGTCTGAAGTAGAGCAACTACCCTTCTCAATATTTGCAGTATTTCCCAATGCTACATTCCTTGAACCTTCAATCTGCAAGTCTAGATCCCTAGGAACTCCAATCCTCAAATCTTTACCCATTGCAATGTTGTCTGTAAGAATATAACACATTTTAAGAATCCACTATCAGGCATAAAAAACTACAATTCCATCTCTGCTTATACAGTCGAAAAAATAAAACCTGTTTCATCATTCTGCAACTGAGTATCTCTTGTCACATTTGTAGGAACCCAGTTACTGCTCTGTGCCTCTGGCCTAGAATGAATGACCTGGGCACATGTACTGTCAGGAGGATCAGCTGAATCATCCCACGGAGACATAGGTTGGGGACTGTCAACTTCTACAGCTCTTTTCGACCAAGAACTCTGCTTAAAAGAGAACGTACATTAAGTTACAAGTATTATTAACATGCTCAAAACACATGGTTCCTATGTATCAATTGCCATCTACAGAGATTTTTGTTTCCTATTTATTTTAAATGTGTTATCAAATAGAGACAATTCCTATTTATTTTAAATGCGTTATCAAATAGAGACAAAGAGAAACCCCGATAATCATTACTCCCTTCGTCCCGAAATTATTATCCAGTTTGGATTTTCATTTTTAGTGCAAATTGAACTAAAAGTGAATCCAAACAGGACAATATTTTTGGGACAGAATACTAATCCAATGAAAAGACTGAAATCACTAAAAACTACCGCAGGAAACCTGTAAAGTGCTGGTTCTTTTAACCATTACAGTCATTTTTCAACAAACTTCTCTGAAATGAGTTACTTGACTCACATGGAACCTTTAGAAGTCTCCTCATTAATGTTTACTTTTTTGACAGAGATCAAGGGTAAATGACCAGGAAGAAAGCGGGAGATTGCAACTAAACGTAAAGCGTGAAATTCCTTGATCACATTTTTTGAAAATGTAAGAAAGTTATTGAAGTCCAAAGTTTCAGTTACTTTTCCAGACATGATGGAGCAATACTTTTTAAAAAGTTGAAATTGTAGCAGTGTAGTGGCTGCCACATATGATGGTAAAGAACAGTCTACAGACTGCATCTAGAAGAATGGGATCATAGCAACGTCGAAGCTTTAAACAAAGATCCATATCAATGTCAAGAGTGGGATCACTCGTGATAAGGTGATTAGTGATTGTATGGCTTCTGATGAAATTCAGATATCATTTGATGGCAAACAGTTATCATCCTATATTTTTATTTGCTAACAAGACAAACAGTTATCGTCTGATTGCAACATAAATCAACTGAGATTCACTTATTCTATCTACAACATTGATGCCAAAATCTTTGCACCAAAAAACTACCAAAAATGAGATGCGACCATAAGACAGAGTACCATAGTATGTATCAAATATATCACAAAGCGGGGCACTCCGTATTCCTCCGCAAATGAAACTATACAACCTCGAAATAACAGTACAGCTCAAAGCGAGTGACACATTTTTATTAGCTGTTCAGAAAGGGATGTAGATTAGGTTGACTTGCACACGTGCAGGTTTGTTTACAATGCGTGTCTTAATTATTTCTACACTAGTGAGCACGAACTCCTGTTTACTTATACTGAATGAAATGAGAAATCAAATAAAGTCACCAAATTGACTATGTATTGCTTGTAACAATAGAGACGTATCATCAATTGTTTGAAAATGGAAGAATGAATCTCTACAAGACTGAGCAAGCCCTATTAACTACAAGCTTCTATATCAACTACAAAGACTAGCAAGCCCTTGCTTCGGTGTTTACGCCTTTTAATGGTCCAGGCAATGCCCTATCATTGAAATTAGACAAATTGGTTCTCATACTGCCTGCTTTCAGGTCCTTTTAAACCCCTTAGAATTATGCAATTATGCTTCTTAAGCATGCGATCAGCGACCTGCAACCTCTGTCATGAACTTCCATGACTCAGAATAACCTACTCGGGACATACTCATCTGATTCAATAAACAAAGTACTGAACCTAAGTACAGATAGTGGTGCTCAACAAAATTATCAGGAAATGAAAAGGGGGCGACAAATTATGAAATACAAGTTAGCCAAAATGATTGACAAAAACAGAAACCAAGTTGCCATGGGATTATGAAGAATAAAATACATACCTGGGTACCACTTCCATTGTCACTGCCATCCTTGTAGTTTAAGCCAATGCTTCCATCATCCTCCTCGTCATTGCTGTCCGTGTTATTGTCTGAACCTTGAGCACATTTTGACTTTGTTGATTTTTGAGTTCGTATCCCACTTTCACTACCACTGCCACTTGACTACAGAAAGAGTAAAGACGGTCAAATGTCAAACTTGAAGGTCCAGGTAGAGTTCAAAAAGATAAGAAGGATGGGTTCCTAACCAACACTCCTTTTCAAGGAAACTGCTAAGTGACATAAATTTTGTTACTCAAATCCACAAAGAAATTGTAGGAAGATTTTCACTTACACTGTGGCATTTCCTCCAAACATGTTGCCAGAGAATCTTGAGCTCATTCTTCCGAATAGGCTTCAGTAAAAAGTCAACCGCTCCCTTTGACAGACACTTGTAGACTACACCGATGGAATCATTATTTGACATCACTGTAAACAAAAGAAATCAGGTTTCTAGAAAGTAAAGAGTAATGATTTGAAAGACTGGTAAAGAAAAATTGCCGCAAATACTCACTGATGACGGGGATATTCTTGAAAGTTTTATGATTCATTATCTTGGATAAAAGACCAATGCCAGATAAGCAGGGCATAGCAACCTCCGTTAAGATGAGATCAATTTGATTTGTGAATTCTTCCAACTTTCTCCAAGCTTCTAGACCATTTGATGCAGTAATGACTGCCAGAGACATTACAAAATATAAGAACAGAATATGCAAGAGTTTCTTGAAGCCAAAGTTCCTAAAAGATTCACAAACCAGTACATCTAGAAAAAAGCAATCAAACATCAAATCAGAAGACCTACAGCAAGAGAACGATGTAAGTGTATTGCTCACAACAGATCTGAACATTAAAATCATTATGAATAGTAACATAAAACTTTTGAAGAGAGAAAGAATCAGTGATAACTAACACTTTTACTGACTTCACAGACAGGGAACAATTTGAAAAATTTTAGTTCTCAAAGCAAGAACTAAGAACCCAGAGCAAAACTGGAAACATCTTCATCACGAAACAGAAGGAGATGCTAATCTGGATATTTAACACAAAATTCAGAGGAATGCCACAATCCTGGATTGCCAACCCCAAGCAACCCCTTACACAAAAAAGAGGAAAAAAAAAAAGACAAAGGGACAAAAGAAGGCTGAATGAGTGATCCTCTTCTACATATAAAACACAAGCGAAGAAGCAACATAACTTATTCCAGAAGAATAGACATCACCTTGGTAACTGCATTTTTGGAGTAAAGCACTGACAATTTGACGAGTTGAATCATCATTTTCCACCAATAGAATCTGCAGGGACCTAAACGGAAGAAAGCGCTCCCATTGGACATATGACCCTTGCTGTTGATGTTGCGATTGTTGTTGAGCAGGCAGTGCAGTTTGGGCCTGCAGATCTATGTGACCATCATTCTCTTCCTCATTGTTCCTTGACTCACCTTCCTCGGACATTCCATGTCTATCAGCAGTAGTTCCATTTCTCACCACATTGTGATCATCCCGCATACGGTGCTGACTAACTTCCACCAACCTTTTAGTTGGCGGCCCATCCACGTCCACCCGAACACTCCTCATCAACCAGATTCAAAAAGACCAACGATGAATAAAGCACCAGATTGAGACGGCAAGAGAACCTCTAAGTTAGAAATGTTGCACATACCGTTCTCTTCCAATATAAACTTTTCTCGGCAGCAACACGTCAATGAAAGCTATCTTGCCAAATGAACACATTTTTTGGTCATTGCAACTGTTTAGCATCTACAGAAGGTATAATAACAACCTCGACCCTCACCAAGAAGGTTACAGCATGGCATAAAACGAAATAAAGTATCAGCAGAAAGGATATGCAATATATTCTTAAGGGTTTGAAATCAACAGCATAAAAATAACAACAGTAAACTGAATGCTTCATCGAACAAGAGGGTCATAGTAATTCAGAAAGTTGTAACAAGATATACTGTGTAAAAAACCCATAACAATATATTTCAGAGTTGAATCTCAATACTCACTTTGATTTTCCCGATCCGCTGCAGAAATCCTAAAATCGGAGATAAAAACCAGTGTTCAACACAAGAGAAAGAAGAATTGAGTTATTCCAAAAATGAAACCTTTAGACAAGTTCAAGGAAACAGAATAAGGCATATAGTGAGTAAGTCATGATAAAATATAAATTCTTCTATATGGTTCCTAAACTAGAAAAGAAAAACTATTTTCATTGGCAATCAAAAATAAATTTTCGTGAAAAAAGGTTTGAGACTCACCAATTAAGCATTCGTTCTCCTTATGTTAAGCTCGGTCTCGGTCAGCTCACCAAAGAAGAGCAGAAAACTATATTTCATACTTCAAAAACTCCATAAAGAGCAAGGAAAATGGGATGCGAGAAAAAGAAAAAAACAGAGAAACAGAAAAGAAACAATTACTCAAATATATTTCATAAACGAAAACAAGAGAAATTCATAATTTTTTAATTTCTTTTTATAAAAAAAAAAACAAACGAAATGAAATAAACTACAGAAATCATTACCTCTCAAACGCCATTGATGAATCACAGAGGTCTGAATTTCCAATCAACAACCACCAGAATCAACTCACTGAAGACATGGCGCTCCAAAGGGTTTTAACAGTGCAGTAATTTACGACTGAAATATACGAATTAATTCCAGTAATTCTCAGCAAAATAAGGGGAAATCTGTTCTAGGGTTTGATTCAGTGGGAAATTTTGGCCGGAATAGTTTTCTTTTTTTTTTTTTTGTTGGTTCCTGGTTCAGAAACAGCGATTTTAAAAAATAAAATAAAAAAATCTCGGAGAAGAAAGAGATATTATAGTACCCCAGGGGAAGGATGACGTGGACAATGTGGAGGCAGCAGGAGTCGCCACGTTTCGCCATGTAAGCAGACAGGTGGGCTGCCACGTATGATCAGTAGCGCTGACGCGGAGGTGAATCTAAACGCGGGCGCTGAATAGTTAACGCCGGATCTCATGAGATCTGTTGGATCCGATCCGAGACACGTGGCGTATTGCTAACGCAGTTAAAGGTTCGATTACTCCGGTGGGGGCCCGCCCGGGTAGGGTAAAACTAAAGGTGGGGAAAGGGTCTTCTCTCCGTGACGTCAGCATGCCCACATTGGCTGGTTTGAAACGAACGCAACAAGTTATTCGGGCCACGCAATTTCTGGAATGCCCGTTTTGCCCATGGTTTTCCTCTTTTTTTACGGGATTCTGGTCCATGTCAGCAACAAAATATCTGGAAGCTGTGCTCCGCTGCATCGCGGGGACAGGGTAGTACAGGTATGGGTGAATTTTAATTCAATCAGAAGACGACACGTGGAAATTTCATTTGTTTCCTCCTATTTGGAGGCTCTATATATATGGATAATGACGAACTTTTTTTAAAAGAAATTTGTATGGATTATTTTTATTTTTATGTTTTTCTTTTCTATCCACTTGACGATAAACCTTTTATGTTAGTGATGAAAACATTTAAAAGTGCCGTTAAAAAAGCTCAAAGTAGTAAAGATAACTTTGGCTGTCATTAGGATTGAGGGATTTTGATGTTGTTATAGTACTAATAAGTATTAATTTTTTCGATAAAGTAAGATATTTTTTCATGGTAGTATATAATAAATATACCAAATTTTTAAAATTATTGTCACAACTAATTACAAATTAAACGGGGTAGTTTACTTTGCAATCAAATTTCTATCAAATGTTGCGTTCACATCCTAGGACCAGGTTGAACATTGTTCATAGTTGGACTCTGAGTACCTTTTCATAATCAAGCGCTTACTGCTAAAGAATTCTGCTTCTTTTATTTGTTTTCTTGTAATCAACAGTTATATTCGTTGAAAGTTAGAAAATATTTTTTTAAAAAAAATAAAAATTGTCTAATTTGAATTTTTTATTTTTAGTATAAATTATATTAAAATAAAAAATTAATTTGGATAATCAATTAAGGACGGAATGAATAGGTTCTTTAACTTTTTTTTTTCCTTCCATAAATTGTATATGCACAGCCTATTACCAGCAAGCAATGATGGTTATCAACCAAGTGAGGCCGTATCTTATTTCGTACTTAGTTGTTACTCCTATGATAAAACTACGTACACCTAAATCCATATTGTTGTTCAAAACCAACTTGTTGCGTGCTATATGAAGATGTGTATACTAAGATGGTATTCTCCTATGACAATTTTGCGGGATTATTTCCAATATAATCATAAAAAGCTAATTTTTCAGGAATTTTAGACCACACTTCTGATAAACTTTGATTTTCGGCTAGACCCGCACTAACCCTTCGATATATCTCTTGCTGAAAGTACCCTTGATCCCATTGATAACGAGTGGGCCCAAATAATTCGATTGGAGTAGTTCTTGAACCATACCACATCGTTCCTAAGAACAACAAAAGTGCAAAAAGACAAGCAGCAATACTACTTGACAAGACGGTTTCAATATTTCCCATACGTAATCCTTTGTATAGACGTTGTGGCGGGCGGACGCTAAGATGGAATAACCCCGCTAATATGCCCAATGTACCGCCGCAATGTGATGAGAGGCTATTCCTCCAGAACAAAAGGATCAAAACCTTCCACACCCCATGCCGGATTGACAGTTGTACTTTTCCTGTTAGCCCATAGGATCGTACACCCATATTCCAGACCATATGAGCCCGTTACATGAAATGCACCAAAACCAAAACAAGCCACTCCCGAAAGAAATAAATGAATTCCAAAGATCTTAGGCAAATCCAAGGAAGGTTTTCCGTGCGCTCATCGCAAAATATTTCTAGATCCCAAGATACCCAATGCCGATAGCCGCCAAAAGCATAAACCGAAAAACACAATATGCGCACTAGCTACACCTTCATAACTCCAAATACTGGATTTGTTGCAGTACCCCGTGATACTCCAACCACCCCACGAATTGGTAATTCCTAAACGAGTCATGAAGGGTATAACAAACATACCTGTCTCCACATTGGATCAAGAACAGGTCGAAGGATCAAAAGCGCTAATTCATACAGAGCCATCGAACCGCCCAACTAAGAACCAGAGCCGTATGCATTATATGAACAGAAAGCAACCGGCCGGATCATTCAATACAACAGTATGAACACGATACCAAGGCAAACCCATGGAAATACCCCTTTATCAAAAATAAATAGACACTATGTAACTTTATTGCAGTGGGAAAGACCGTACTATGACTATTCTATGTACCTCCCTATTCAAAGTGGATTATTTCGAACAAGGGCTAATATTTGTTCTATTCGTTGGTAATAATAATGAAATAATGGAACAACTCGTTCGTAGGAACAAAGCTAAGCGATTTATTCTATACTCGATAAGTACCAATACGCAATGGGGTTGATACCAATTTCTCCGAGCGAATGCGCCCATTCTTATTCATCCCTCTATTCCTAAAAATTGGACTTTATTCATCCATTTTTTCTTTATGATTTTTCTAATCTATGGATAAAACTAATCTATGGATAAAATAAATACGAGATAAGTCTATATTATATTATAAAAACAATAAACTCATTTTGTTACGTTTCCCCATCAAAGTGAAATACAGACTTAGTTCTTTTTCTTTCATTTAATGCCTATTGGTGTTCCAAAAGTACCCTTTCGAAGTCCCGGAGAGGAAGATGCATCTTGGGTTGACGTATAGTGCGACTTGTCGACATATTGGGTCATATGGGATTTTCCCGTTTTCTCCCGAGCGAGATATCCTCTGTTTCGCCCAAGAAAGATTCAGTGAATCATCGAAATTTGGAGCGTGAAGTTCAATTAGATTTAGATCTATTTTAGGGGATTAATATTACATTGCTTCGAATAATTTATGGTTGACTTGGTTGGATTAAAAATGAAGTATTCAGCTCGTTTAGAAAAACCCAATTGATTGGTAATATATCTACATATCTACGATTCCTATTTTTAGACTAAAGGATTCCTATTTGGCTTATTTGTCAAGCGAGTTAGTGTTACGAAATATTTGTAATGTAAAAAGGTATGAAATACATTACAAGACAAAGGGCAAAAAGTCATAATAAAAAGAAGTGGTAATGGGGGCCTTTGTCCTATATGTACAAATAAAACTCAGTCAAATCTTTACCCAGAGTAGAGCATAAACCTAAAAAGGCGAAACAGACCCAATCAGTAACAAGAAAATACCATCGTGATTTGGATTGAATTTCGATGAAATAATACATCAATGAGAAGTTAATTCAATGAGTTTAGTGACGTTTTTCTTTTTTTTATAATTTATTTTATAGATATCTAGTCAAAAACTCGTATATCTATTGAAGAAGAAAACCCTTTCGTTAGAAGACAAAAAGAGCTGTTATCGGAAAAGAAGGAGGACTGGAATCTATACATTGATTACATTGATTCTTTTTTTATTTTCGCAATTTGTTTTGAACCGTATGCATCAAAAGGTGCATGTACGGTTTCTAAGGGATACACTTGAACCCTAATCAACCGACTTTATTGAGAAAGATTACTTTTTTTAGGCCAAGCGGTTGATAGCGAGATCTCAAATCAACTTATTGGTCTTATGATATATCTCAAGA